AACCTTATATCAAAATAAATTCTATATTTTTAATTGTATCAATTTGAAGTCTAATTTTTTGATTTGTTTTCAATCCAAATTATTTACCTATTTTTGTTAAGTTAATTGACAAAACATAAAATATATTAATTATTATACTCAATGTAGGTATATGAAAAATGTCTAAAATAATATTTTTCATTAAGTTTTTAATAACTAAAATATTTTTTTCTACCGCTCTACTTAACGAAAATAAACAGATAATTTAGATTAAAAATAAATAAAAAATTAAAAATTAAATTAATAAAATTGAAAATTGAAATTTTATTTTATTATATGACTTAAATTTTAATTTTTTATTTTTTATAAGAAGTTTAAACATACACCGGAGATCTAAAATCTGCGTGCGGCTGTTGGACCCTGTGACAGCAGGGGTCAATTTTTAGTTATGTCGGCCTTAGAATCATTGGTAAATTTTATTGGGTAAATTACACTTTGCCCCTAAAGTTTCACTTATTTTTTATTTTGACTCTTTAAGTTTAAATTTTTTTATTTTGGCCCTTTATATTTGTAATTATTCCCACTTTGACCCTTAAAGTTTGATTTTTTCTATTTTGGTCTTTCATATTTGCGATCCTTCTTAATTTGAGCCTTCATGTTTTTAATCCTTTACACTTTACTCTTACACTAACTTCCATAAAAAAAAAAAAAACTAATAGAATCTGACCAATATATCAGTTTCATGTGTGATATAAAAAAATTCACTAAAGATGCAAAAAAAAATGAAAAATAGATAACAAAAAAATTGAAATTTTCCTTTAGTCTTTAGTGAACTTTTTTTTTTTTTTTTTTCAAATTTATTCATAAACATTATTACATTATAGATGCGTCTAGATTAGATGTTCCTAAAAAAATAAAAACAAATTTAACTAAAAAAGAAAAAAAATTATTAAAGACAAAAAAATGAAAATATACTGACTCAAACACCTGTAATTTCAATTCTAAAATGAAAAGTTTACTATTGTTTTTTTTTTTCCGTCTTTAGTGAACATTTTTCTTTTTTTCGTTAAATTTGTTTTAATTTTTTTAGGTGCATCTAAGGTTGATGCATCTATATTTTTATTTTCAATTCTAATTTTTTTATTTTTTATTTTTTATTTTTTGCATCTTTAGTGAATTTTTTACATCACACATGGAGCTGATATGTTGGTGATGTGACAGATTCTGTTAATTTTTTGGATGGAAGTTAGCCTAAGAGTAAAGTGGGAAAAATTGTAAACATGAAAAGCCAAAGTGAGAATGATTGCAATCATAAAACGTCAAAGTGGAAAGGATTGCAAATATAAAAGGGCAAAGTAGGAAAAATCTAACTTAAAGGGCCAAAGTAAGAAATAAGTGAACCTTTAGGTAGGCAAAGTGTAAATTACCTATTTGATTATTACAAAATGACATAATTCAATATTATGAGAGTCGCAACTTAAAAAAAAAAAAAATTGAATTATAATCAAACATCACAAGTATAACTAAATAACTCTTAAATCATAATTGAATAATATTATGACCAACATCATAATATGTCATAACTAATAATACAGTAAATCATAACTATTAACACAAAAATCGTAACCAAAAGTATTTATGATTTTTCAAATAAAATACAATTTTTGATTAGTTTAAAAAAATAACTTTGCATTCAAAAAGTATATTAACTGTACAAAAAAATGCATCCCTCACTATTTAAATCAATCAAAACTTATAATTTTGTTCATACCTTTGAACAATGTATAAACAAAACCAGATTCTCTTGACCTGAGGTTTGGTCTCAGACATTAAATTGTCATTTCACATTCGAGTTTTCAAAATCCAAAAAATTGAAGAAATTTGAAAAGTACATAGATATAGAACCACACACAAAACAACAAAAATGATTGAAACATAGAACCGAGTCCAAGCAAGCAACATCAAAGGCGAAATTTTTAAGGACAAATACCAAACAATTCCAACTAATAATGTGAACTCTTTAAAACATTTTGACCTATTAATAGACCTGGTCTTCTGAGAGACTCTCTCTCTTTCCTTTCATAATGTGATAAACTTGAACCATTTTTTTTTCTTTACAAAATAATATTTGAGCGGTGATATATACATAGAAAATATTTATACTGTGTTTGGTTGGGGGATTTGAGGAGGGATTTAGAAAGAGAAATGGAAAAGGTATGTGAAATGTGAATAAATCATGCCTATATTTCACATAGTTTCACACACTTTTTTCCTTTCCCTTTTCAAATCTCTCCCCAAATTCTCCAACCAAACACAGCATTACAAAATTACTACAGAAATGATAATGTGGCATGTTGTGGTTTATTTTTATTTATTTATTTATTTATTTTGATAAATGGCATATTGTGGTTTATTCATAATTCAAAATCAGACATTTAGACTGTATTTGTAATTTCCCCTTTAGTTTATTATTAGATATTGGCGCATTTATAATTATTAGTAGTCGTTCTAAATTTCGTTAATATCAATCGATTGTATATATATATTATGTCGGCACAATAAATAAATTAAAGACTAAATTATATTTTTAGTTTTAGTAGTTTAAGCGAAATGTCATTTTAGTTCTTGTAATTTTAATTTGAACAATTTAAACAATATAGTTTCAGTTTTATTTCGATGTTGTCCTTCCATCCTAAACTGTTTACATTTTGGATGAAAAGCAACATAAGCAAAAATTAATTTTGGTCCTTTTAATTTTGCACATAATTTTTTTCCATTTAAAAATTAGAGTTCATTATACTTTTTACCCCTAAACTATCATCAAATTATTTACTTAGTCCCTAAACTATGTATTGAGTCTAGTTAATCCCTAAAGTATATAATTAAAGTCTATTTAGCCCTTAAACTATCAATTAAATCTATTAAGTGTCCAAAATATTTAATTCAAACATATTTAGTCTCTAAAATAATTTCAAAAATAAAATATAAGTCTATAAATACTATAAATTAGTAAAACACCCTATCGGATTATAATTTTATTTCAAAAAAATCTTAAATTTTTATTTTGTCTATGAAAAGTAGACGTCAATTCTTCTAGTCAATTTTCTTTATAAGGGTAATGATGGTTATCTATAATATTTTCTTACTTATCTTCTACAATGGCTATTTGCTTGCCTTTATCTAATAATGTATATCGGACTTCATTTATAATATCTAATTGATTATCTTTTAAGTTTTTTCGCTGAATTCATTTTATAAGTTAATTAATGTATTATTTTGTTCAATTATTATTTGTAGCTAAGTGTTATTATTTAAATGATCTAATTTTAGTTTTTCAATATATCTAATACTTATATAATTTTATTGGCAAGACCAAAAAATCAGACTCTGATATTAATTTAAATACTTAACGAAATAAAACACCTTTTTAAAGAAAATAAAATAAAAATTTTAGATTTTTTTAAGAATAAAATCTTAATTAGGTGAGTCTTTTACTAATTTATAATACTTATAGGTATATATTTTATTTTTATAATCATTTTAGGGACTAAATATGTTTGAATTACATATATAGCAACTTAATAGATTCAATTGATATTTTATGAATTAAATAAATTTTGATTTATATATTTTAGGGACTTAATAGACTTAATCAATAGTTTAGGAATTAAATAGACAATTTGATGTTAGTTTAAGGGCAGAAAGTGTAATAAATCCTAAAAATTATAATAGTAAGTGATGGATAAACCACATTGTAACAAAATTAAAAATCTAACGATCAAAATATTCAAATTAAAACTATGAAAACTAAAATAAAATTTCACTCAAATTAGAGAAACTAACAATATAATCTATCCAAAATTAAATTTTAAATAATAAAGACAATTAAGTATAAGATTACTGATATTTATTTTATTTACCATCGCTGCCCATAAATTAGTTTTTTTCTTTTTTCTTTTTTCTTTTTTCTTTTTTCCTTCTTTTGAGAAACCCTTATACATTTTTGGTGAGAACATGGATAAAATTTCAGATATGTACCGTACATCTATTAACCTCAAATCCACCCTTTAATTTGGGCCAACCAGTACGCCAAACACTGCAATAAATTTCTGAACTTTGTTGTCAATATATACGTGAAAAATAAATTATAAATACATTCCTAAAATTTATTAAAAATACAAATCTCCTCACATTTAAAAAATTACATCCCAACCTTGAAATTTCCAATCCGAAACAAATGACTTTTCCATTAATCACCGTTCAGTCAACTAACAATGTGTATGACATAGGCAACATTTTTTTTTCCCTAAAAAATATTTAAATTAACATTTATGAAGTTAATATTTTATATTAACATTTATGAAGTCAAATATTTTATTTTCTTCTCTTTTTTTTTCCTTCTTATTTCACCTTCCTTATTTCTCATTTTCTCTCAACTAATAATACCACTTTGTCCAATCATGGCACCACCATATCTATCTCGATCAACGCCACTGCAATTATTATCTATAAACATTTGACAAATGTTGTCAAAGAGGATTAGAGAATATTGTGGTAGAGTAGAAAAGGATTAGGTAGTGGGCGAATGAAAATGCGACTAGTACGATAATTTCATTTTAGTGCTAGAGAGTATTTAGATAATTTTAAGTGGGCGAATGAAAATGCGACTAGTACGATAATTTCATTTTAGTGCTAGAGAGTATTTAGATAATTTTATTTTATTTTTTTGTAAAATCACTTGCAGAAAAAATTATACTGATGAGATATTTGTAATTTCTAAAACATGGAGGGAAAATGTATTTGTAATTTATCTGTAAATCTGGCTTTACAAAGCTTACAATATTCTTAATTAAAAAAAAAAAAAAAGGAAGATGAAGTTCTAGAATTAATTCTAAACCATAAAACAACAAAATGCCAACCGAACCACAGAAAAAAATAACACAGAAGACCCAAAATAGTCTTCAGCATAGAAATCACAAAGAAACACACAAACTCAAACAAAACAGTTCCAAACAAAAGTAGATCATGAATAAGTCAGCATGTATGATCTTCAAAAATGTAAATTTCATGTCTAGTTTTGAAATCTACTACTCCTAACCATACAATTATATACTAACAATGAAATCATATACAACTGGGGAGCCTGATTGTCTAAGTTCAAATAGTAAAACAACTATTGGGTTCTCACATTTCACAAAAATATTTCTCTAAAAACCAAATTATCAATTAACTCCATTCATAGTTGCATTATACTCAAAAAGCTTCCTTTTTCATAGACAAAGCAGTTTTGGAATTGTCTTTCATTCCAAGGAATAACCTAAAATAATGCATTCAAAGTTACTGATTTTACCTCGAACTGAAAAAACTTTTTTAAAGACTATTTTCTATTTTCTCATCTGTGTGAAAAGTGCAGACGGGGGTCTTCCAGTTCCAGCTTCAGTGTTACCAAATGCAGAGAAGCCACCACCTCCTTGTTGACCGTTGAAGGCTCCAAATCCACCGCCTTCAAAAAATTTAACAACAGACATATCAATGAAAAACTTAAAAAGTCGATGTAAGCCAAAACTGGAAAATTATAAAACATAAAAAGCTTTTAGGCTATGTTGAAATGACAATAATTTTTTAGGGGAAATGAGAATGAGATTTTGGGTCTCATTAATTCCTGACGTTTGGAACGGATTGAAATGGGAAAGTGATTCTTGATTATTTATTTCAGCATGAATCACATTTCCAAACTAAATAGGAATCTGATTCCCCCACTTCCCTATAAGAAGCTATTTAAGAGAAGGGGAAAAAAATTTGGGCACACAACATTTAAATTTTTATTATTTTCTCATTGAGGATTCCTAATAAAACCAAATGCTTGAATAGAACATAGACACAGGAATTTTATTACTAGTACTCTCATTACTAGTAATGAGATTCTTCATTCCTCGAATTCTTTTCATTCAAACATAGCCTTATTTGATGTGATGAGATAAAATGTGCTTACTGGAACTGGGGAATCCACCGCCAGAAGCAGCTCCTGCAAACCCACCACCAGAAGCAGCTCCTGCGAACCCACCACCAGCTGAGAACATTGACACAGGAATTTTATTACTAGTACTCTCATTACTTGTAATGAGATTCTTCATACCTCAAATTTTTTTCATTCAAACATAGCCTTATTTGATGTGATGAGATAAAATGTGCTTACCTGAACTGGGGAATCCACCGCCAGAAGCAGCTCCTGCAAACCCACCACCAGCTGAGGCAACACCACCAAACCCACCACCAGCAGAGGCAGCAGCACCAAACCCACCACCAGCTGAAGCAACACCAGCAAACCCACCACCACCAAAAGCAACACCAGCAAACCCACCAGTGGAATGAGAGCTGACCAAACCACCACCGAAACCACTAGCAGTAGTGGCAGTTATACCAGTTGGAACAACACCAAGCTGTCTTGACTGTCCAAAAGCACCAAGAACTGATCCTAAAGCTTGTTGCCCCGAGCCAATCTGTGATGGCCAGCCAAATCCACTTCCTGCAGGAATTTGAGGGGTGGTTCCTGTGCTAAAACCACCAGAGAATGCACCAAAATTTGTTAGCTGAGAGGGTTGGGAAAGCTGTGGAGATTGAAAGCTGAAAGATGCTGGTCGAAACAGCTCTCCTGTAGGAACTGTCGCAGCAAATGGAGAGCTAGCTTGAGTTGGAGCTGGACTAACAAATGTCAAGCCAAAGGGATTTGGCTTGACAGCTGTTTGATTTGGGGCTGATCCAATCCCAAAACCACCTAGGCTTCCTAAAGTGAGTTCAGTTGTTTCACTTGTCTCGGGAGGTGCCTCCTCCATCTCATCCTCCTGTGTGATCGCAACATCTAAACTCTCACCTTTTCCACCAAATGGCTGTTCGGGTTTAGAGTTGAATGCTGCATTTGACGCAGGAGCTTCCATGCCATTAAAACTCAGGTTACTCCCAAATTGCAAATTGGCCGAAGGTTCACTTGTAGGCACGGATGGTACTGAAGACTCAAGCTTCAAAGTTAATGCAGGCTCAGGCGTTGAAATGGAAGCTTGAATTGTAGAATTCTCATCTGTTTTAGAACTAAGCTTAGGTATAGTGGGCTGTGGCTCTTTCTTGGTAGACTCGGTTTTTAAGTTCATGGAAGGAATGGGAATAGGTGAGGACAATGGGTTTTCAGGAACCTGAAAAGAGGAACCAGAAGAAAGAGTTGGATAGGAAGAGACTGATGATTGGGAAAGCGAGGCTGTCTGACTAGCATTACTGACTTTAAAACTAGTTTGGGATGATCTGCCTATTGAGATTGCCGATGATGAACTTGGTGCAATTGGATTAGACAAAGAAGATGAGAATGACGAATGGATCAGGGGAGATGATGATGGATTCAAAGTTGAGAACAAGGATGTAGAAGAAGATGATGCTATTCTACCAGAATGGCTTTTGCTTGCTGCAGTGTCAGATTGGATTACTTCTGCATGCGAGCTGGGAGCTGGATTGACAACTGATGCAGGAGAAAATGGAGATTCAAACCCTTTCCCAGATTCAAAAAACGAGCTTTCAATGTTGCTAGGCCTATGCTTCACACTTCCAATTGTAGATTCCACAAAATTAGTTTCTTTATCATTTGAATTTGACATTTCATTGGGTTTCTTTGGAAAAGTAAGTGTCCGCCCAGGTATCCTCTTGGACATTGATGGTGTTTGTAGATCAATTTTGGACAACTTGGACTCATTAACTGAAAGGGAATCAGACTTCTCAATAATAGTTACCCCACTGCTTGATCTGTTGCCAGTCAGATTGAAACTTTCCTTTGCATAATTTTGAAAGCCAACAGTTGAAGATATGGATGCAGACTGTGATGAGAATGCAGATATTCTGTCCCGAATGCCTACACAGAAAACAAATGAACAATAGTCAACAACAGTTCCTTAGCTGTTTATCCTAACAACTTAATGCATTTAGCACATTACTTCTTCCACTCCAAGGTTGCTAACCTTTCTCAGATGGAAATAAGAGGGTTGAAGTGGTGGAACGATGCTCGGGGTGAGCAACTGACAATCCCTCCAGCATGTGGGACTTGGCATGTTTCTTATCCATCAACAAAGATGATCTGTCTGCGCTTGCCTTCTGCCGATCTTCATGCAAAAGCGTTCTTTTGACAGTTGTTTTTGGAGGTTCAAAACTAGCCCAACTCTGCATTGAGGTTTGTAAAAAATATCACATACACATCTCTTAGCCCTGAAACAAGACATCCAGAGCAATGGAATGAAGCAAAAATCCCACATATACATCTGTTAGGAAATTTTTCCTGAGGCTTACATAATCTAGGGTACTGGAGGCAGTGGACTAGGTATCGAATTTACCTTCAGCATCATTTGCATAAATAGATTTCCATAATAACAATAAAACCATGCAATATTGATCTTAAACACATTTCGTTAAAATTTTCATTTCAGGATGAAAAAACCAATGTGCACATTGCACATGAATGGTGGTAGTATAATTGCCCCCTCAACAGAAAACCTTGTCCAATGTGAACCTCACAAAAAGGCTCCCAAATAATTTTGTTTGAGCGGTCAGATATGTATGAGCTAGCACTAAGCCACTTATTTTTTTTATTTTTAAATTGTCTTGTCAAGAACTTCTGTCATCGTCATAGCCATTTAAGACGGTCTCAAAATACTGTAGAACAATGATGGGGAATTAGTACCTTTCCATTTGTAAGGGCAAGAATCCAATCCTCTATCACATATAAAAGTTATAAAATATTACCTTTGTGGTCACCACCACCAAAGCATTTCCAAGAAAATATTGTGTCATAACCGTAAGTAATATTAAGGAAGTAAAACCTTTCATATTATCTGATCCAAAAGCTTTACATTAAATAGGGACCAGAGCAGTGGTCATAATATTCCATACTCTTTTGACGCTGTTTGAATTGTTTTAAGGGAAGGGGAAGTGTAAATATTCACCTTGTTCGAATTGTTTTATGGAGAGAAGGGGAAGTGCATGTAGGTTTTGTGACGGAAGAGATGATACAAAATTTGAGCACTTCTCTTCAATTCCAAAGTTGGGAGGAAACAGAGGGGAAGCAGAGTGCTTGTTTTATTTTGGTAGTTTCCTTGGTTGATTTTGGTAATTTAATAGAGTATCCTTTAGGGGTTCTCGCTTATGTATTCAGATGCAATAAACATTGTAATAAGGTTGAGACAGTTTGTAAGAAGGTTTAGACAGTTTAATGCAATACACTATTTCTTTCTGTACCTATAATCACAGTAACCCGTCTGACTCAAAAAAACTTTTTAGCCTCTCTCTCTCTCTCTCTCTCTCTCTCTCTCTCTCTCTCTCCGTGTCTGTGTGTGTTTGCGATCTTTGTCATTTGTTTTGAACTTGAAGAATATTCTATTGTTTTATTCATTTCATTGTGTTCATGGTAGTTTAAATGACCCAACATTGGACTCATAACTTGGGTTTTGAGTTCGAAACAGTGTGTTTGAATGTGATGAATTCAAAATTTTAATTTTAAAAGAAATTTTAGATAAGTCATCTGATTGCAATGTTTTAATTTACTAGTATGTATTGTTTTCTTGATTTAATAGTTTTAGATGAGTGTGGAAATTATTGATGGGAGCTTACATTAGAAGATTTTAATAATCTTGCAAGTTTAGGAAGACATGTTTTTTTTCCTAATTAGGATAGTTAGGAACAGAGTTTCTTTTGAAAAAAATTTAAGGCTTGGTTGTATGTGGGGATGATGGAATATGTTGGTTGAAGAAAATGTTAAATATTATTAAAATTTAAAAAGTGCGATAATATTATAGTTGAATGAAGTGTGATATAATGCTAATTGAATGGTTGAATATCACTTTTCTAGTATCTCTCTTTTTTGCATGACTCAAAATACATAAACACTTCATTTATTTATACAATAGAAACTTCATTAATAAATATTTAAGTTTATGTTTATTATTAGCTCAATAAAGGTTTTATCATCTTATTGTTGTTAATTACAAAACAATTTTTGAGATTGTGATAAATAGTTGCCTCTGTATTAAATCTTCGATCCACCACTAGTCCTAGCCAACCCACAAGTACACACACTAGAGGTTTGCCACCAGTAAACCAGGCACAATCAGAGTAAGCAAAGGCACCCACAAATTACTAGGCAACACACCCAACCTTCCATTTCTCAACAAGTACAAAGGAAGGTGAACGTAAAAAGTAATAAAACATCAAGATCAAGAAATGTTACCCGGTCCAGTGAATCGCGCCTCCTCCTTGCATGCTCTGATTCAAAACTCCTCATAGCACTTGACTGGTTTCTCCTGGACTGACTTTTAACAGCATTCGAGCACGAAGATATTAAGAGCTTATTTCCTGATGGGGTGTCACTAGTTTTATTTTCATCTGGAGAACTGAAAGAGGCACTGTTATAAGGGATCCCAATTGCGTCGAACAACTCTCTTCTCACATTCGGTTTTTTGACAGAAGGTGCCTCTATACTCAACACAGCCATCTGTTTTGAGAGACATTCAGAAAGTTGCTCTGCAGCTGCTAATTGTGAACTCATTGCGTTATGTAAACTATGCAAGGACTGGACATTTCTGCAAGTGAATACCTTTGATTAGATGAAATCATAATTTGACCAGCCTCAGCTCACAAATCTGACCTAATTGTGCATCCAGTACATAATTGGCTCCCACATACATGCTACTGCGGAAACATGTTATAACAAAACTAATAACTATTTCAGTTGGAAAGAAAATGACACCAGTTGTCAGTTAGCATGTCAAACTAAAATGAGCTAGTGATGCATTTTAGAAATAATAGCCACTAATAATGTTTTCCCATACCTTGAAGATGCATATCTACTAGGAAAAGTTCTTTGACTCATTAAAACTCCATCATTTTCTCCAAATTTATTAAGCTCGAGAGTATTCAAATGCCTTTCCAATTCAATCAGTTGATTGGTCAGTTCCTGGAAAAGGGAGAGGGATAGAGTGATGCATTGAAGCCAAATTCAAGCAAATACATTGCTAGTAAAATGTAACTGATGATCAACCTGATTAACTTTTAATATGCATCGCCGCTTCAGCTCTAGTTCAGAACTCAACTTCTGGTGATTCCAAAGATCCCAATATTGCCCATCAGTAGCTTGTTTAACAATGCCTTCCATATAGATTTTCCTCGCCAAAACTGGAGAAGTATCAAATGATTATATGGTGCACAAAAGAAGGATATTAACCAACTTATACAATTGCAAAAACCAAACTCATAACACGTGACACTACGTGAAAAGTGATTGTGTGGTGACTGATGAATTTTGGCAACTAACAATGTCATGCCCAGTGATACCGAACTGCAACTACACATACAAGCATGTGAGCATTTGAGGATAGAAGCAAATAAACTTCACTAAAGCTTATCACATCTATTCATTTTATAGTCATCTAACCTAAGAAGCACGGACACGGATGCAGACACGGAACACTGCGATTTCAAAAAAATAGGGACACGGACATGGCAGGGACACGGCAATAAAATATGTTTTCATATATTTTTATTTGCTATCTAGATTAATATTATATCTACAGATAATTAATATTAACAAAAACTAACTCTAACTCTATATATACATTTTTATAAAAAAAAAATACTTTTAAATTAACACTTACAGATTATATCTTTTTTTATGAGTGATCTATTAAGTATTAAAATCTAAGATAAAAATAATAAACATTCAACATTCAACATTCATCAAAAGTACTAAATAAAATGGGAGAAAAGACAATTTGGCAAGTCCTTAATATGTCTCCGAAGTGTCCCCGGCATGTCTCCTAAAAATAAATTAATTAAATAAAGAGACACACCATGTGGTGTCCCATACATGTCCTTGAAGTGTCCGTGTGTCTGACACTGATACGGCACTTGTTTTGAAGTGTCAGTGCTTCATAGCATCTGACAAAAATTCTTAGCTGTGACACATAAGCTCAGTTACCAGTGATGGGTGCATGTGTGTGACTTCGGGGTTTGTCTAATTGCCACTTCTTGAGACATGGGCATGCCAAAAAGTCAATATTATTAATTTGGGTTAATTATATTTTACCCCTTGTAATTTAGCAAAAAACGCACAACACCTCCATGGTTTAGAATGTAAACATAACCTCCATGTATTTGGGGGTGAAGTGTAAAATGGGCAATTTAGCTTTCTGGTACAGCACAGCCCTAATAATTGCGCCATTGTGCCTGAACTGTGAGTGCTCTCAGCCACATAGATAGTTCAAGGTGCTCATCAACGTCTGACCCTATGTTAAAATTGATGTATATTTGATTGATATAATGTTATATATATTACAATGATTCATGATTCCTATATATAGAAGAGGGTGAGTGTGTAGTAGGTAAGGAGTAGGTGAAGTGGAGGTGGTAGTGGTGTAGTGGGTTAGGTTTAGTGGAGTAGGTGAGGTGGTAGTGGTGTAGTGGGTTAGGTTTAGTGGAGTAGGTTTAAGTGGGTGAAGTAGGTGGAGAGTAGGTGGATTTTAACACCCTAAGATGCGGATCATCCCAGGCACATTAGCATGGTGTACTCCTCTTGTTTGAACCAGGGTTTGAGACCAAACTCCTCAGGATATAGAGGTGCCATTCAAATGAGATCCAATGCAGATCCAACTTTCAATTGACTTGTGGGATTGACTCGTGGGATCCAACTTTCATTTTGTTTTACCATCCTTATCTTTTCTCACATTGGAGATTTTAGTCTTTTCCAAACGGACTTCAATCTCAAATTCTCTCTCACATATGAATGTTAACCATGTTTCATTATTCTAGCTCCTACGCTAACTCCCACACCTATTTCCCAATTGAAGGTAGTTATCAGCAAGTATACACAAGTAAAAAGATATTGAGTAAAGAAATAAAACAACCAAGTAGCACCAACAATTGTGGCGACGACACATGGTAGCTTAGGCAATTACTCTCGCTTCCGGCACATTATAACCAAAGCAATGAGACTCAAATTAAAAAGAGTATATGTATTTGGCATAATTAGATTTTTAATTTTCAAGTTTCCTTTTATAAAATGAAAAACAATAAAAACTATAGTAAAAGACAGGGTAAAAACTTTCTTCAATTTACAAAAATAGTTTTCAATTTTTTCTTCTTCGAGTTTGGTAACAACAATTCTAACCAAACCAAGCCTTGCCTTAAGTCCCATCAAACGTGGTCGGCCACATGAATCCTTCTTCTCCACTCTACTCTATCAAAGGCCATTTGGTTAGTCAAATTAAGGAAGTTCATATCTCTATTTACTACACTACCCCACGTCAATTTAGGTCTGCCCCTTCCCTTAACACTTCTCTCTACCGTCACTGCATCACATCTCTTTACTACTGCCTCCGGCAATCTAATAGTGGTCACCACACTTTCATTCATGTCCATCAATGTAGTCTTTTGTCACCTCTTTCTTCTCTAACACCCACCAGATTATATCTCGAGGCACTCTATGATACGCTTTCTCATGATCGATAAAAATCATATAAATGTCTCTTTTCTTCTCCCTATACTTTTCTATTACTCTCCTCAAAGATATATCGCTTCCATTGTTGAGTTACAAGACATAAATCCAAATTGATTCTCTGACACCCCTGCTATATCTCGCAATCGACGTTCCTTCACTCTCTCCCACACTTTCATTATATGACACATCAGCTTGATTCCTCTATAGCTGTTTCAATTCTAGACATCTCCTTTATTCTTATATGTTGTCACTAAAATACTCCTCCACTCCTCTGTCATTTTCCTAGTCAATAAAATCTTACTAAACAACCTAATCAACCGAGCAACCCCCTTTTTATACAAACATTTCCAAACTTCAATAGGGATATCATCTTCTTAAGTGCAATCTCCACTTCAAAGTTCCTAATCCTGCAATAGAACTTGTAGTCTTGGTTTTCCTTGTTACTTGCTACTTCCTCCCCTTTTGACCTTCCTCCATGTCCCTCATTTAACTTCTCAAAATGATTCTTCCACCTCTTCTTAATCTCTTTATCCTTCACCGACACCTTAGAATCCTCACTCTTGATGTACTCAACCTGATTAAAATCTCCTGTTTTCCTCTCTTATCTTGGCAAGTTTGTATATTCTCCTCTCCCTCCTTACTATTTAATCTAGTGTATAGGTCATCATAGGCTTTCAACTTAGCATATTTCACTACTTTTTTGACCTCCCTATTAACCAATCTATAACTCTTAAGCTTTTCCTCAGTTCTATCATTCCGCCACTTTTTAAAACACTCTTGTCGTCTTTACTACCACTTGAACCTCATCCCTCCACCACCAAGTTTCATTAGAATTGGATCCCTTTCATTTTACTCCCCAAAGACTTCCCTTGAGATTGTCCTCGTACAATTAGCCATCAAGTTTCATATGGTGTTAGCATCATCTTCTAAGCCCCAAGTACCTTCTTCATCCGTTTTTAAATATTTCTAATTTATCCCCTTTAGGTCCCACCGCCTCGTCCTACAGCACCCACTATCCTTCCTAGCTTGATGTTGCCTTTGAAAGCATAAATCTAGTACCAAAATCCCATGTTGAGCCCATCAGGCAACAACGGTTCTGCCTGACCCTACTTAAGCATGCATATTATGTCAGTGAAGACTTGGTGTGAAGCCTTGGAGCTTACGTTAGAAGAGCAAAAGGCCGGGGGCTAGGGTGAGCTGAAGGGGGACAGCGTAAGTGAGCGAATGTGTGTAAGCCCAGTCAAACATGACTGTTCTAGGCGGGGCGGGCCACCCACCTTCGAATGGTGTTGGTCCTACGGACCGTGAACGGATTCACCTCTGGCCTCTGGGCACGTCGGAACCGCATGAGTTCACCGGGGTGGAGCACGGAATCTAAAATACTCTCTTCAGCCTCATTTCTATCACCAAAACCATACCCACCATGCACCTTCTCATAACCTAGTTTATCTATTCCTACACGGCCATTGAAATCTCCACCTATAACAAGGTTCTTCCCTATGAGTATCTCCTGTAATACCTCATCTATTTGGTCCAAAAAAATCTCTCTTAGTCTGATCATCTAATCCTACTTGGGAGGCGTATACACTCATAACGTTCATTATATTCTCTCCAATAACTAATTTAACTAACATAATCCTATCACCTTTCCTAATGACCGCAACTACATTTTCTACAAGACCCTTAGCAATTATTATTCCTATCCCATTCATGTGTCTATCATTGGAATCTTAACTATGTGTTAAAATTGATGTATATTTGATTGATATAATGTTATATATATTACAATGATTCATGATTCCTATATATAGAAGAGGGTAAGTGTGTAGTAGGTAAGGAGTAGGTGAAGTGGAGGTGGTAGTGGTGTAGTGGGTTAGGTTTAGTGGAGTAGGTGAGGTGGTAGTGGTGTAGTGGGTTAGGTTTAGTGGAGTAGGTGAGATGGTAGTGGTGTAGTGGGTTAGGTTTAGTGGAGTAGGTGAGATGGTAGTGGTGTAGTGGGTTAGGTTTAGTGGAGTAGGTGAGATGGTAGTGGTGTAGTGGGTTAGGTTTAGTGGAGTAGGTGAGATGGTAGTGGTGTAGTGGGTTAGGTTTAGTGGAGTAGGTGAGATGGTAGTGGTGTAGTGGGTTAGGTTTAGTGGAGTAGGTGAGATGGTAGTGGTGTAGTGGGTTAGGTTTAGTGGAGTAGGTGAGATGGTAGTGGTGTAGTGGGTTAGGTTTAGTGGAGTAGGTGAGATGGTAGTGGTGTAGTGGGTTAGGTTTAGTGGAGTAGGTGAGATGGTAGTGGTGTAGTGGGTTAGGTTTAGTGGAGTAGGTGAGATGGTAGTGGTGTAGTGGGTTAGGTTTAGTGGAGTAGGTGAGATGGTAGTGGTGTAGTGGGTTAGGTTTAGTGGAGTAGGTGAGATGGTAGTGGTGTAGTGGGTTAGGTTTAGTGGAGTAGGTGAGATGGTAGTGGTGTAGTGGGTTAGGTTTAGTGGAGTAGGTGAGATGGTAGTGGTGTAGTGGGTTAGGTTTAGTGGAGTAGGTGAGATGGTAGTGGTGTAGTGGGTTAGGTTTAGTGGAGTAGGTGAGATGGTAGTCTTCACTCTCTCCCACACTTTCATTATATGACACATCAGCTTGATTCCTCTATAGCTGTTTCAATTCTAGACATCTCCTTTATTCTTATAGATTGTCACTAAAATACTCCTCCACTCCTCTGTCATTTTCCTAGTCAATAAAATCTTATTAAACAACCTAATCAACCGAGCAACCCCCTTCTTATACAAACATTTCCAAACTTCAATAGGGATATCATCGGATCCTAAAACCTTATTCGATTTCATCTTCTTAAGTGCAATCTCCACTTCAAAGTTCCTAATCCTGCAATAGAACTTGTAGTCTTGGTTTTCCTTGTTACTGGCTACTTCCTCCCCTTTTGACCTTCCTCCATGTCCCTCATTTAACTTCTCAAAATGGTTCTTCCACCTCTCCTTAATCTCTTTATCCTTCACCAACACCTTAGAGTCCTCACTCTTGATGTACTCAACCTGATTAAAATCTCTTGTTTTTCTCTCTTATCTTGGCAAGTTTGTATATTCTGCTCTCCCTCCTTACTATTTAGTCTAGTGTATAGGTCATCATAGGCTTTCAACTTAGCATCTTTCACTACTTTTTTGACCTCCTTATTAACCAATCTATAACTCTTAAGCTTTTCCTCAGTTCTATCCTTCCGCCACTTTTTAAAACACTCTTGTCGTCTTTACTACCACTTGAACCTCATCCCTCCACCACCAAGTTTCATTAGAATTGGATCTCTTTCATTTTGACTCTCCAAGGACTTCCCTTGAGATTGTCCTCATACAATTAGCCATCAAGTTTCATATGGTGTTAGCATCATCTTCTAAGCCCCAAGTACCTTCTTCATCCGTTATCCCCTTTTAGGTCCCACCACCTCGTCCTACGGCACCCACTATCCTTCCTAGCTTGATGTTGCCTTTTAAAGCATAAATCTAGTACTAAAATCCCATGTTGAGGCGTCATGTTCTCTCCAAGATTCACCTTACAGTCACTGCATTTTAGACAGTCCACTTTTCTTACTAGAAAGTAATCTATTTGGCTTCTAATTGACCCACTCTTAAAGATTAACAAATGCTCTTCTCTCTTCTTACGCATAGTATTAGCCACCACCAGGTCAGAAGCTAACGCAAAATCTAAAATACTCTCTTCAGCCTCATTTCTATCACCAAAACCATACCCACCATGCACCTTCTCATAACCTAGTTTATCTATTCCTACACGGCCATTGAAATCTCCACCTATGACAAGGTTCTCTCCTATGAGTATCTCCTGTAATACCTCATCTATTTGGTCCAAAAAAATCTCTCTTAGTCTGATCATCTAATCCTACTTGGGAGACGTATGCACTCATAACGTTCATTATATTCTCTCCAATAACTAATTTAACTAATATAATCCTATCACCTTTCCTAATGACCGCAACTACATTTTCTACAAGACCCTTATTCTTATCCCATTCATGTGTCTATCATTGGAATCTTAACTATGGTTGTAAGAAATGTTTAGAAATTGAGATTATTAAAGATTTTACCGGACTATATAAAGATTCCTTCTACATATAATTCAAGTTATTCCAACCTCTAAATATGTCTTAATATTCTCAAAGCAATGAAAAGCACATCAACACTGCATTCATATTATTTAATTATATGCACCATTGGAATACCTTGCACAGTGTTGTCAAGAAGAAGTTGGATTTCCCCCTGCTGCTCATCCATTATGCTCTATAAAGTCAGAGGTAATCAAGAATCAAACATTTGTAATACTACGATATATTTAACAGCAAGAAGCATATGCTTGCTAGAAATTGGTTGACATTGAAAAACTTTGAACAATATATATATATAAAAAATAAAAATAAAAATAAAAATAAAAAAAGAGGAAGAGTAACACTATTATCAAAATCTTACAATTCACGATTTGAATCCCGATGGTACTATTCAACAATCTTCCTGTGCAATTATTCCTTGACAAAATGGTGCAGCTAAGCACAAACGCCGTTACATTATGAAGATTGCTCGTTCTCTGTTGCTCCATTCATCTGTTCCCAGTTCCTTTTGGAGTGAGGCTATTCTTACAGTTCTTTATCTCATTAACCGCATTCATTCTAAAGTGACTTCAGGTATTTCTCCCAAGGGGCAAATCTCTTGATTATTTTTCACTTAAGTGTGTTTGGCTATACCTTTGTTCTTCATCCTTGCGCAGAACGCACCAAGTGATGTAATAAGAGTAGTAGTTGTTATGTTTAGGAGGCTTAGTTGGTCTTAAGCCTATAAATGGGTGGTTTAGTCTCCTAATAATCATTTTTAATGATATGTTGACATTGTATTTGTGAGCTTGAGAATTCTTGTATCCTAATTGGAAAATATCTCTCTAATGAAATCGCTTTCCTAAATGGTTCCATCTCAAGTTATCTGCTTGTTCTGCTATGTATGTGTTTCTTGGTTAATAGGTGTTATGATCGGGTCTCTAAACACCTCTGTCTCTCGTCATGTTGTATATCTAGAGCATATTCCTTTCTTTTTTATTCCGTCTGCCTCTGTTTCTTTTTCTAAGGCTGACCTTGTTTATCTTGACACCTTTACTGATGATATTCCTTATGATTCATATGTTCATAATTTGTCTTCATTAGATATTCCGTCCCTCTCTTCTTCTGTTTCTAAGCTTCCCACTGATGCTCTTCCCATTATTCATATTTATACTCATCAGAAAATGAGTGACTTATTTGCAGGTACAAATCCCTTACCTACTATTGTTTTGCCTTTGTTGCCTATTGCAGATGAAATTCCTCTACTTCTTGCTATCCTCTGTGCTTCTATAAGTATCCTGATCATTTTGGTTTCTCTAAGTCTTATTATTCTTCTGAATTTAGTTCATTATTGTCTTCCATTCATTCTCTTTCTGAACCCACCTCCTAAAAGGAGGTTGCACTTTGATCCTCTTTGGCAATAGGCTATGAATGGGAAACTTTTTGTTTGCATAAGACTGACACTTGGGATCTTGTTCATTTACCTTTTGCTTAGCATGTTGTTGGTTGTTGATGGGTTTATAAGATTAAAACCAAAGTCGATGGTTCTGTTGAACAATATAAAGCTCGTTTAGTTGCTTTTTCTCAAGAATATAACATTGATTATGAGATTTTGCTCTTGTTGCCAAGATGACTATTGTTCGTACTTTGATTGTAGTAGCAATTGTTCATCAATAGCATCTCTCACATGTGGATGTTAACAATGCCTTTCTGAATGGTGATCTGGATGAGGAGATCTTTATGGTTCCTCCGCCTCCTCCTCCTCCTAAGCTTCCTCATAATTCTGGTTAAGTTGCAAACTTCACAAAACTTTGTATAGTCTGAAACAAACTCCTCAAGCTTGGTTTGAGAAGTTCTCCACTGGGGTTTGTGATTTCGGGTTTCGCACCAGTGTGCGGGCCGGGTTATCCTCTTGCTATGTTGATGACATGATTATTAATGGTGATGATGTTGATGGTATTTTTGTTCTCAAAAATCAATTGCAACGTCATTTTAAGATGAAGGATCTTGGTTCCTTTCGTTATTTCTTGAGGATTAAAGTGTCTTTTTCTTCTGAAGGGTGTCTTCTCTCTCAGTACAAATATGCCTCTAATGCCCTTAAACAAGCCATGTTGACAGATTCTCAAACAGATGATGCTCCTCTCAAGCTCAATGTACATTATTCCCCTATAGATGGTGTTCATTTGTCAGATCCTACTTTGTATCATGTTCTTTTCAACAGTCTCATCTTACTGTTAGATAACCTGATATTGCCTATGTAGTTCATAGTCAGTCAATTTGTTTCCACTCCCAATACTTTAATTATATGTCTAGAGAGGTGGTACATCAGGTCCATTATCTAGCTACACAGGCAGTATTCCAAGGAAAGATCAGCAGTTGATTGAACAACAAAAAAAAATAGTAGGGCAAATTACACTTTATCCCCTTGAACTATCACTCAGCATCATTTTACCCCCCTCAACTAAAAAAAAATTACACTTTGCCTCCTTGAACTATCAATTTATATCAATATGAACCTTCCGGTAAGAATCCGTTACCTAAATTGATATAAAATTGACATGTGACTTGCACAGGACATCTCAAATATTGTGGAATGCATACACGATGGTTGTTGTCGTGGATTGAAGAAACCCACCTTTCTCCTATCCATGTCAGGAGCCATGGCTGCCTACACTATGGCTACTATCATGGACAGAAGACAAGAAGAAAGAAAAAGGTCATTTTAAGCATTCCACAATATTTGAGATGTTCTGCACAAGTCACATGTCAAATTTCATCCATTTATGTAACGGATCATTAATGGAAGGTTCACATTGACATAAATTGATAGTTATGGTGGACAAATCAAGCATTTTTTAGTTGAGGGGGGTAAAGTGATATTGAGTGACAATTCAAGGGGGTATAAAGTAATTTACCTAAAATGAGGTATGTCTAACTATCAAGAGCTACAGTGACATATTCTATAGAAATATCTAAAAAGATACAAAAAACGTGATCCAAGGAACTAACCTTCCACAGTCTGCATCTGTCAAACAGGGTCCTTGTGCCTTCCTCTAGCGCTAGAACTGAGCTATTCTGGACAATACAGGCATCCCTGAAACCACCTGCTCCTTTTATACATTCCAAAAGGGTTTCAAGTTCCTTTATCATTTCTTCAACCTGGAAAATATTAGATAATAAGACAAAACAGAAAATGGGAAATATCCTCAAATAAATACACACAACAGAGCGCACACATTGATGCATGCATACTAAGAAGCACGGACATAGATACGGATGCGGATATGGACACAGATGCAGACACGGGACACAGCGATTTCAAAAAAAATGGGGATATGGACACAACGGGAACACGGCAATAAAATATGTTTTCATATATTTTTATTTGCTATCTAGATTAATATTACATCCACAAACAATCAATATTAACAAAAACTAATTCTAATTCTTTTTTTTATTATTTTTAAAAACACTTTTAAATTAACACTTACAGTTTATATTTTTTTTTTATGGATGATCTATAAAGTATTTAAATCTAAGAAAAAAAATAATAAACATTCAATATTCATCAAAAGCACGAAATAAAATGAGGGAAAAGACAACTTGGCATATCCCTAGTGTGTTCCCGAAATGTCCCCCGTGTGTCCCTTGAAAATAAATTAATTAAATAAGAGGGCACATCATGTGGCGTGTCCCATATGTGTCCCCAAGTGTCCGCATGTTCCCGAAGTGTCCGTGTGTCCAACACAGATACGGCACTTGTTTTGAAATACCGGTGCTTTATAGCATGCATGCATTACGAAGACGCCAATATGGACAATGACGTAAGACATAAAAAACTTAATGTAACCCGGCTTTCATGAAATATACTTTGAGCATGTAATGGCAAATAAATATGTTTTGTCATCAGAAATAAAGAATATAGGAGAAATGCGGGAGGTCGAGCGGCATTATCCAAGTCTCTCATTCATAAGAGAAGAAGAGGGAGATTAAAGACGAGAGAAGAAAAGCAATACAGAGAAAGATGGAGACAGAAGAGACAGGAATAAGAGATGAGAAAGAGAAAAGAAGTAAAACAAAGAAAAGAAAAATATGAGAAAAGGAGAGAGAGATAGTTCTTCAATCTATTTTTTCTCAATTTTTTTCATCTTCTAGGGAAGAACTCATTTTACACCAACACTGCCTGTTTATAGGATTCAATTGCGATAAAAAGTATGCGAAAACTGAATCTACCCGTAGTATAAACAAATAAAGCAATAAATTTACCCCTAAAACATGACTCCTAATAACATAAAAATAAATAAATAACAATATCATTCCGAAACACTCCATAAAATATGAGACTCAAAAAAAATTTAAAATTTAAAATTTAAAAATATATATCATTCCAAAATGCTCCTAACAATTGACAATACTCAAGTAGGGTGATAAAAAATTAGAGCACAACAAAACAAATATCAAACTGCAATATATTACCATAAGTTGAAGAACGAACTTGGAGTTGAAAATTTTAGTATCTCAATATATAATACCACTTCCAAATACATAAGCTCAGTTATTCAGCCCCACAATTTCTGGTACTAACCTTGAAATATGACAACTTCAAACTAAAGCATCTAAACCAGAAACATTCAGGTTTTAATGCTCAAGGCTATTCCCAGTCTCCTCCCTACAAGTAAAGAGTGCTGGGATAGGTGGATTGGGGAGGGACCAAACCTTTGATGTTAGCTGTGTTAAGTGGACCCATGGTCTCAAAGCCATGTTCCCATGCTTGCAGCATGGGCTTTTATCACTGCCTTCAGACTCAACCTTCATTTTCTTATGGAACAGAACTCATCTGCTCTGTTAGGGTCCCCAGCATTAAAAGAGTCAAACCTAGAAAGTTATTAACTTCTCCAGGTCCAACAGAGCAGAGACACCAAGCCATAAAAGAACAAAGTTCCAGAAACTACTCTAAATTAAAAATGGAATAGAGCACCAAACAGGAAAAACACATGGTAACACTAGGAAAAGTATGTGCTGAAACAAAATGCAAAAGAGAAGACAATATTTATTACATTCCCAAATTGTTTTGATAGTTGAGGCTCAGAATTCATCAGCCTTGTTGTGGACACAGTTCTGTAATTCTCTTTGATAGGATGTAACTTATCTTTGGAAGACTTCCCCGACATAAAACTTTGTTGAGATGGCAATGATGCGCTACGGGTGGAAGGCAATGGTTCAGTAATCCCTGCCCCTGTTTTTCCAGAAGAATAGAATGGAATTGATAAGCCAAAAGCTTCTTTTGCACCGGAAAAGTTTCCGAATGATCCTTCAGGCAAATGTGCACCACTCAAACTCATACCAGATTTACTAGAAGATAAAAGTGAGGAACCTCCAGAAGTCATTGGAAAAATGAGTTTTTCATTTGATGAGGATTCTGATAAAGCACCCTTTGAGCTAGCAGATCCAAGCTTTCCTGGTAATTTACCTAAAGCAACACTTTCTGATACAGGAATTGCCTGGCTGGACACATTTGTTAAACATTTGCCTGAAAAAGAATCAGGACTGTATCCACCTTCATGAAGTTTTTGAGTTTCTGTCTTGCTGAAATCTCTAACTACAGGTCCATGCTGCTCTAAGTAAGAAGTGTTCAGAGATGACTGTCCTAAACCTGTGCCTTGCTGCCCGGAAATCAGTGATTGTTGGCCATCTGTATCTTTGTTCAGCTTAGTGACAGGAAGCTTCTGCTGCTCATTGGTTTTAAGTGTCTGCGAATTAACAATTTTTCCGGTAATAGTTTCCTGAGGGGATGTTTCATCTGCAAAGGGGGTGGTCATCGGAAAGTTTTTCACTGCAGGAAGCACTGGCTCATTTTTCGCAGGAAGTTCCTTCTTGTTTATTTCCTGAGATTGGAAATCCAGACCAACTTGCTGTAAACTTTTTACTGTGAGACCAGACGAAGCTTTGGACAAACCATCTTCCATGGATGCCAGTGTAGGAGTATCATCATCCTCATTAGAAGGCAGAGACACAACATCAGATGGAACTGAAGCTCCTGAGGCACTACAAAAGAAATTGATTTATTGTCTAATACATAACTTTTACCAATGGAGAAGATACTTAGCATTACATGAAAGGCCAGATCAGGTAATGAAGAAAGAAACGCATTAATGGAAGAGAAAGAACATAAACAATTTGATGAAATACCTGGCAACTTGGAACATTGAAAGCCTTCCGTCAAAAGAGAGACACAAAAGAACACAAAAAGGTGAAAGTTCCTTATATTCAGCTCCAAGCTTGACTTCAACTTTTTCATTGTAAGAAATCTTGTCCAAGCAGAGCCCCAGGACTATATTATCATCACCATTTTCTGAAAAAAGGCGGGAGTTATAAAAAAAACTTGAACTGAAAGAATCTTAGAAATGCTCAAGAAAAATTTTAGCTACGAACTTTCCAAACAAAATCACTTAATGGCAATTATTAATGAAATGGGCCACCACATCATGTCTCAATAATTCTTACAAGCTAAACACTTCTACCCTACAAGACAGATCAGGGCTGAGTAAAATGTTTCTTTACAACAAAAAACGTGATAACCTAGTCATTAACTTAATTCTTTTTTCTTTTTGGATGGGGTTGGGGGTAAAAGACGAAATATTCTGAGAAAGGTTCCACATAAGACAAAAAAATACAAACAACGACAAACAAAACACTAAGCCAAAAGAGACCTATAAAAGCATTCCAACTCCTACAAAACTGAGAATGTTAGTACTGCAAAACTGTGTAGTGGGTTGACCCTATGAAACCCGTGTTGGGTATTCCTTCCTCCAACCTAAGAAGTGCGGACAGAGACATGAGAGGTAGAAACGACACAATATAGACACGCCGACACAACAAATAACCAAAAGTCAAGAACCACCCCTTCATTCATTCATCTAGAATTTTTATTAGTACAAGAGAAGAGATCCATTGAACCTAGACAGGCTAAACCACCAAGTTAAAGAATTTGCTCAATGTCCAAGAAATATAGAAAATGGAAACATCCTAAGAAAAGCCCTGAATAAAATCCAACTGAATTACACATTAAACTTTCTAAAACTCTATAACATCTAGTAGACATATGACCATTAATAAATGTGTTTGAACTAGGGCTCATTGACTACTCTCACCAACCATAACTAGCCCAAGAAAATATTTAAAATGTTCAAAGACATTGAAGCATGTGTGTTGGCACATAAATTTCAACCAAATTTATGTTAAAATTTCAAATACGCTCAATCAGTCAATGACACGTGTAGAGCCTATGATAGGAATGTTGTAGGTAATCACTTCCTAAAAAGAAATGCACAAATAAAACAACGTCGTATCTCAATGATATTATTCAAGATACTCAAATGACACGTGGAGCCAACAAGACCTAAAGCACAATAGGCTCAACCAAAGGACGACACCTATGGAGCCTATAGCAAAGACGCCACAAAAGATGAAATCCAAAGGATTAATACAATTAATCAGATATACGATTAATCATATATGATTACGCTTAAATTCAAATGGCATTATCATTCAATTTGAAATTCAAATTCAAGATTAGATGCTCTTATCACGTAGATAGCCCTCTATAAATATGAGGACCATCACATCAAGAAGGGGGGATCAAAGAAAAAGATCAAAAATATGAGATTAGAGAGAGGGAGAGAGAAATCAGAAGTCAAAGAAGTCTTCACAAGGAAGAAGAAGAGAAACCGAGAGAACTCACGAGCCTACACGGCAAACATCAGATACGATGGCATGCGATAAGTAAAAGGTTCCAAAACAGTTCTATCTCGTATCTAAGGGTTCTAAGTCCCTACAATTTCAATCAAACAATTCGTTTCCTTAAATTGTCTTTTGTTAATTTTTTGTTCTTCATTAATCGGGGGTTTCGTTTAAATAAAATGTGTAATTAATGATCAGGATACAGATTAGAAATAGGAGCTTTCTATTCAAATAATCAACATTATTGAGTTAAAAACTATATAGTGGACATTTGTAACAATGTATAATGACACATCCCGACCAACTATGTGATATTGTCCACTTTAGGTACATAGACCCTCATGGCTTTGTCTTTATAGTCTCGGACAAAAGGCCTCACACAGTTGAGGATGGGCTATTCCATATATGATAACGTTGATCGTTCCAGTACGTGGAACGAGAACTGGAACGTAGTACATGTTCTAAAATGTGATACGATAAAGGTAGGCTTGTATATATTACATTTAAGAATTTAAGATACTTCTAATGTCATTTTCTTTTAACTATTAGGTACCCAGTAAACGAATTTTTTTTAATTTTTAATTTTTTTCTCCGTGTTTTATGTTTTTGTCTTGTCAAAACTTAACTCACCTTAGATTTTACTTCATTATATTGATTTTTTTCCCTCATAAGGTAACATTTAAATAAATATATTGGAAAAAGCTTGTCGGATTGCTTTAGATCACTAAATTTACCGTTTTGGAACAAAGTGTACCATATTTCGAAACGTGCGTACTAATACGTAATTCACTAGGGTTTGGCATTTTCTAGTAACATGGGGTCAGACTATCCATATCTATCCAGTTTCATTTGAATTATGCACAAATGTATGTGTCTCCAAGTTTTGAAGACAAGAAAATCAATGGAAAAGAATTACTAATGGAGTTTATGAAAAGCTTTCCCGTTCATGCACAATCCTAGTAGTTGTTTGGCATGTGCTAAAATAGCACATACTATTTTAGCACATCATCTTATTTGAGTAACAATCATCTTATTTGGGTCACATCATTTCTTATTTGAGTCACATCATTTCTCTACCACATCACTTCAAACTCAATCCATATTTCACATTTTTTCATAAAAAGTCAAAGAGCATACTAATTTAGCACTTCCCAAACAACTCCCTAATAGTGCAAACAATCAAAACTCCTAGAAAGCCAAAGACATACCAAACCAATAAACTAGTGGACACCATGTAAGCAGCGCAACATAATTGCGATTATCAATGGATTCCATATTGTCAAAGACAACATTCACTTGCAACCAATTTTTCATTTTTTATAATTTGCAATCATATCACTTCTTTCTCTTTTCGGACTCAGTTTTCCTCTATGTTACCTAGAACATGGATTGTTCCAGTACATAGAACGAGAACGGGAATGGGAACGGGAACATAAACATGGTACGCCACATACTCTAAAATGAGGTACGATAAGAGTAGACTTATATATATTTCACTTAAAAATTTAAGATACTTGTAAAGTAATTTTCTTTTAACTATTAGGTATCCAATAAATTTTATTTTATTTTTTTTTTAATGTAGCAAATCATTTCTATGAAAATTATGACCCATTTTTTTGTCTTGTCAAAACTTAACTCACCTTAGATTTTGGTTCATATATTTAATTTTTTTTCTCCTAAGATAACATTTAAGAAAATATATTGGAAAAACTTTTGGGATCACTTCAGATCCCTAAATTTATTATTTTGGAACAGAAGTGTACCATATTTCGGAACGTGCGTACCAATACCTTATTCGCTAGAGTATTAGCGTTTTCTAGTAACATAGATTTTCCTTGCATGGATGATGTCATCAATGTCTAATTATACTGTTATCATTAGAATTGTCTACACAATCAAATATCCCCAACGGATATACCCATTCCATTTTATTATTAAACCGAAACCCCAAACTTCACCCAATCCTGAGTTGCATCACAGTAGAGCTACAACTATATTTTTAAGAATTATCCAATCCAAAATCCTAGCCTCACTAACCAGATTAATATTGGATGTACTAATTACAGGGTTCGTAACTTAAAGTCATTTTCTGACGAGTCAAGCTTGATCCAAGTCTCAGAAAAGCAATCACAGCTGCCACACAAATCAACTGGTCAATCTAGTGCTAAAGCTAAAGAGAATTGTTAAAAAGAGACGAGTATCATACAGCACTTCAGTATTAAAACGGGACAGGAAAAGCCCTATCTATGTTGAGCAACCCAAAGACATCATCTCGTATTCTTTTTTTATTTTTTATTTTTTTATTTTTTCCCCCTCTTTGATAAGTAAGCAAACAAGATTTCAAGCATACACCTCCTTGTCCACAAGTGGCAGGAGTTACCACTCAAGTTAGCAGTTGGAAAATATTGGCATTGATTATAACAAGTAAAATTGAATGATAATAAATTACAGCACCGTCTTGTGAACAACAAAATGATCAGGACATCTTAGCAAAATGACTTTTAGAGTGGATGCTCTACACAATCTGACATTGATAAACTATATTTTGTTAAAGCATCATAGAAAATAAACATAATAAAGAATACTATATGATCAATAAAATTTAGAAAAGTAAGAAGAAGAAAACGACTATTTGATCCATTAGAAGTTGGCCTAGTATACTAGTTTGAGCACCTTGAAGGGCAATCTTTGGACACAGGGTGTCTCTCAGAATATCAATAACCGCGGCTTCCTTCTTATCATCATCTAGTGACCAACCAAACAATACAATGTGCTGATCCGTAAAACTGTCTTCTAAGCCCACTGTCATGCAAAAAATTAGTGAATTAGTTATAATCCATCTGTGCGAGATTGAACAACGTAAATAGTATGTCACATGAACCAGACATGGTAAGAAGTAATGCAAATACTTATTTTGCTTGATCGGCAATAAAATAATTTTACTAATAATTAAAAAGAGAAATTACAACTGAGGGTGGAGGTGGAGAACAAGAAGTCCACCAACCATACAAGAAGAGCAAAAAGTCACAAATCCTACATAGCCTTCTATCCAATCCCTATTAATCAAAAAGAAAGGAATTCCTTGAAAGGAGAATAAACTGATTCCCAAAAGGAAGATAAATGACAAATCTTATTCCATGCCCCCTCAATATCCATGAATTTGTCTTAAAAAATCCTTGCATTCATTTTCAACAAAATCTCCCAAAAATATAGCAAAGGTAACACAGTTCCAAGCAACTCGAGCTTTTCTCTTTGATGCCAAATCTCCCCTATAGTCAATCAAAAGCTCCCATACACAAGAGTGAGTAACCACTCACTCCACACCCACCATATAAAACAAGTTACGCCACAAAGACAAAGCCACAGAACAAAGAAAAAAAAAAAAAGATGGTCAGTACATTTTTTTGTCCCTTCTACAATCAAAACTACATATAAAATTAGGAATCTTCATAGGTTGCTACACACTATTTTCAAACAATTTTTAAGTTAATAAAAATTCTCTTTCTTTTCTTACTTTTTTAAGTTGTGCCCCCACCAAAGTTCGTCCAGTGTTTTCAAGAGTCATAGTCCTTATAGTATCAATACTTGTTCCATGCACATGACCATAGTCCATAGCATCCAGGCCTTCTGAACTAAATAAAGTGCTATTTAACCAATTAAAACACTTCCTACAACTGAATAAGCACCACTTTAGCACTCTGAACCACCCAAAACAAAACCGATGAAGGATATTGATGCAAAATATAAGAAGCTCGAGAAAAAGTAAATTCAAAGAAACAGCGTTATTTGGAAATTGGAATGGTTTCAAAGAGAAATCGATAGGAACCATACATAATCACGTTTCTAATATTATTATAGTTCCATTTTATGATTATTTTTATGTTTTATAGGATTTTTAGGCGAGGGGTATTTTGGTAATTTTATATTTGTTGATATGGGTCGTATAAGTCTCCCATGGGTCGTCTTGTGGGTCAAATTATTTAATTGAGTTTTATTTATGTTTCTTATTTGGGCTTCAATTAGTTTTGGAAACCTAAGATATTATAGTAGTTTCATTTTTTGGTTCTAGTTGGTTTAGGAAGTCTCCTAGTCCTATATAAAGCCTTGTAATGCTTATAATTGATAGAGTTGATATTTTTATAAAAAGTTGAGAGCTTTGAAACTTCTTTATGGGTAGTGTGATGCAATCAAACCCTAGGTGTGATGCTTAGGAGATTCTAAAAGTGATTCCTAGACCTATCTTCTTCTCCTCCTTTCTTCTATCTTCTTCTTTTCTTTTTCTTTCTTTCTTTCTTCAATTCCTGCAGCCTGTTCACAGCACCCTAAAACAGTGTAAAATCAGCCCCAAAGCCTACTGTTGTGGCTATCCCTAATCGTCCTACATCAGTTTGGTATCAGAGCAAAAGATCCCATTGTTTTGTGGAAGTTCCGAAACATGTCTATGCATCCTAGAAGATCTCTCGGAAGGGGAATATTTTCTGCAAACCACAGAGATCAAATTCTTTTTAAAATTGTGGAATTCAAGTTTGGCTTAATTCTTTGGAAAGACAAGCAGCCCAACAAAATTTCGTAAACAGTCATATTATAAGGGAAAAAAATAATCTGATTGATGAATCAAAAACACCCCAAGGGGCACCAACTTTGAAGAAATTCGTCAACCCAAATTCTGTGTGTTCCAAGATAGATTTTGTGGATGACAAGCAAACTTTTTCAATGGGGAAAGATGACCAAATTTCGAAGAATGAAAAAGCAGTTATTGTTGATTCAGAACAATTCCTACAATCCCAAATAAAAATTGTTGTTCAAGAGTCTCAAGAACAAGTTGCTGGTCTAGAACCAGATTTGTCTTTAGATGTTAATAAGTTATTGGCTGAGTCTAATTTAGAGCCAAGAAAGTTGTCTCTGGAGCCTACAACTCTGGATATTGTCCAAATAGAAGATTCGGAGGCCACACAAGATGTAGAGATTGAAGAATTACAACAAGAAGTTGCTAATACTGACCTTAATAAGGCTTTACAAGTCACCAATTTGTTGCCTAAATTCTCTTCAATAGAGCCAAACAAGAACAGAATGCATGAAATGAATTTTGCAGCCCAACATTTGGATCAATTTAAGAATGTTTCAATTCTTTCTATTGATTTTGTCATTCCCGACATATTAGTATCATGAAGGAAAAGATCAATTTCTCAAAATTTTTGTTCATGTCTCCAACAAAAAAAAGACGGCGACAACTTAAAGATTTTAACATGAAGTCGTGAATGCAATTTCAAAGCTTGTGGATGCTCATGCTTCAACACTTCAAAACTTGAGGTCGAGTTTTTTCCAACCAAGGGAGAATGATGCAGAATATAAGAAGCTCGAGAAAATAAATTCAAAGAAACGGCGATATTTGGAAATTGGAATGGTTTCAAAGAGAAATCGATACTATCTCTCTCAGCACAACGAAGCGTTTTTCAGAAGTTTTTTCGCAAGTTGTTTGTCTTCTGCCTCAGCCTCAGCCTTCGTCTTGATTAAATAACCCAGACAGCCACGCGCATCGCGCGCCTCTTGATGCCAGACAAACGGGCCCTACCACACACTCACCTACTACACTCACCTACCACCACCATCCACTACACCTACATCTATATAAGAAACCATTTGTAATAGACAGAATATCAATCAATAAATACATCAATCAATAATATACATCAATTTATTTTACAAGAACCATACATAATCATGTTTCTAATATTATTATAGTTCCATTTTATGATTATTTCTATGCTTTCTAGAATTTTTAGGCGAGGCGTATTTTGGTAATTTACATTCGCTGACATGGGTCGTATGGGTCGCCCATGAGCCGTCTTGTGGGTCAAATTATTTAATTGAGTTTTATTTATGTTTCTTATTTGGTCTTAAATTAGTTTTAGAAGTCTAAGATATTATAGTAGTTTCCTTTTTTTGTTCTAGTTGGTTTAGGAAGTCTCCTAGTCTTATATAAAGCCTTGTAATGCTTATAATTGATGGAGTTGATATTTTTATAAAAAATTGAGAGCTTTGAAGCTTCTTTATGGGCTGTATGATGCAATCAAACCCTGTGTTGCCTAAAGAATTCTAGGAGTGATTCCTAAACCTATCTTCTCCTCCTCCTTTCTTTCTATCTTTTTCTTTTCTTTTTCTTTCTTTCTTCAATTCCTGCAGCCTATTCACAGCACCCTAAAACAGTGTAAAATCAGCCCCAAAGCCTACTGTTGTGGATGTCCCTAATCGTCCTGCATCAAATACCGATTACTCAAAAAAGCATACCTCAACCACATTAATGGTTCAACAAAACCTATAACTATAAGCATCAACTAAACAAAGAAATAATTTGTACCCAGACACAAAAAATAGAAAACAAGCCAAGTATGAATGCCAAAAAGAAATCGAACAATAAGAATTTTAAAAACATAAAGACTTGTCAAATATGAAAGAAATGGTTTGCATACCAGCTATCCAAATAGCTCAAGGACATATATGGTCCAGTTCCAAAGGGCACAATGTCATCAATTATACCTTCGAACACATCACCAAAGGATAGCACAATTGGTTTGGAAGAAGCCTACAAGAAAGATTTCACAAGATCAGCAACACGGAGGTAATAGTAAAATATTATATACCACCAATGGAAAAGTACTAGGTATTATGGGTGCTATTATTGTTTTAACTACTTCATACTTATATCACTACTTCACAAACCTCTTGAGAGTTGGGAATCTCAAAAGCACATCTTAACATGTTAACTTCAAGAATATTTGACAGAATTTCACCGCAGTGTGACGATCCTAAATCCCAAACCCAAAACCCAATGCATATGGTGCATGCATAATTGTCATTAAAATGAGAAAATTATAGAACTTACTGTTAGCAGGCAGGCACTGTTGGACACAATGACAGTAGGAAGTCACAAGTATGGTAATCGATATCACTAGGGCTTAATTGTATCTTTCTATATCTTTTTAGAAGGAAATTATATATGGTTGCGAATAGAGTAACCTTTTCAAATACTAGGATTGAAAATTACGAGTGTTATTAGCCTTCTAACAGTAATAACAATAATAAAATTTGTATCAGGCTATCATCTCTGAAAGGGTCTTTTGAATATTAATGAGTTTCACTTAGCTATCTTGTTCTTACAAAACTTTATGGTTTGATCAAGTTAGCACCTTGTACGTGTAATACCCTGGGTATTACCATGTCTAGTACTTGTTTTTTGGCTGATTACTTCAAATATACATGCTCTAATTATAATTATTTGAGTTTAATGTGTATGAATTACATACTTGCATAGTTGTCAAATCATGAATCGAAATGGCCTTATACCGAATCGCGAATTGAATCGAATCGAATCATGAATCTAAAGATTCAATCACTTTTTCTACATTACTTAGAAAAATATATCTACACACTTGAATGTTAAATATATCTAATCTAATAAATATAAAATATTTAGACTTAAATTAATGAAAATGTTGTTTTGAATAATGATCACATCGTCTAATAGGTAAGAAGCTAACACAAGTTCTCATGTAAGATCACCATCTTACATTTTCTCCTTTTTTATATTGTTTATCAACCATTCTTAATTAAGAATGTAAATAGAGACAGCGAAATGCGGCAAAAGGAAGGAAAATCCATGGACCAATCCCATCATCTCCACCCAGCTTATGGACCCGAACCTGGGTGATATATCCATGACCAGGATAAAGCTTGGATGAAACTAAGTGGAGGTCCAAACCAACTGATGTTGAAGAATCAGCGGGTGACTTGCTCCTATGAAACCAAGGTAAACTCTCAATTTCAAAGTAACAATAACTTAACACCGATGTTGATATTTGATAAGCATATATACCTTTAAAAGTAACAATGATCCAATAATAAAAAAGAATTAATTGGAATCTTTTATTTTAAAACCTCAAGCATTTTAAAAGGTATATATGCTTATTGTTCAAAAAAAATTGTAGAACCATTAGGTTTACCTGACCTCACCCTTGTAATATTGAAGTATACTTATTTTAATAAAATATTAATAGATGATTCATATTGCAAGTTACTTTAACCTTCAACATCTTTAGAAGATACATTATGATTTTTTTTATTTTTTTTAAATGAGAAGAAAATGTTAAAAACATATTAGGTTTGATTGAATCTTATTAGATCCTATTGAAAACTCCCTGATCTCCAAACAACAACAAATAATGTATACATATTAGTTATTTTTGTACTAAACACTATTAGAAATTGTATTATGTCATTTTAACTAAAAAAAGAATTGAAATATGTCGGACATGATATCGTGCAATTCACTAGAGACTCACTTCCAAAATAGTTTCACCCATAGATTCATATCGATTTTGCAAAAATTGCCAATCGAATCGTGAATCATACGATTATGATAATAGAGCATACTTGTTAGTGGGATTGACTAAAATATTGGTATTTTATTGATATTCAAATTGCCATATGATCAAAAAGATTTGTGAAGCACCGATAATATAGATGTGGAATCCTCAAAGTTGAGGACCTTGTTTGGATGACATCCTTTTGTAGTGCATCATCTTGTCTTAAATCCCATGTGGACCAAATAGGTCCCAACCATGTTGATGGGCTAGCTAGCAAGCCCTTATATTGCATTGACACATCACACACACATGTAATCCTAAGTCTTGTGGCTTGACACCTCATATTGCATGCAAGACCAAGACAAGTGTCTCCTTTTGGGACACTTTATCATTGCACTTTGGACCTAGTAGGTAACAGTGTATAAGACCAAAATCTGCACATTTTCTCCCCTTTGCTCCACCAAACTAAAGAGACAAAGCTTGGATTTGAGGTAAGGAAACCACTCTTTTATTCATAATTGGAAAACACACTCTTGGTTTTAGTGATAATCATATTTCCAATGACAAGACCACCTTTGCTGTTTGGGAAGGACACCACTTTCCAATTAACCCTACATACTTGAAAGGAAAAGACTCAATGAGATACCCTAACAAATTGGCCAACATATTTAACCTATGCATCGGAAAATTAATACCCACAATAGAACTCTAATTCACATTATGAAGCTATCGGGTAATACACAGATTTAAGCAAGGATAAGCTATGACCAGCCTGTCAAAATTTGTACACTATGAAGTAGAAAGAGTTCCTCCAGAATAACTAACCAAAATCAAGACAAAAGAAAATATATAATCAAAACTGAAATATCATTGTGGCCAAAAATTGTAAGAATATGGTGACTGCAAAAGTGCCTACAAACACTAATTTTTAATTAAACCTTCATTAAACTCAATATGCAGGGATCATGTACTAACATCAATGACTTTTCCATCTTTGCTCGTGATGACTTGAACCAAGTAATTTTCCTCCTTACCATCTGCAGTTAGTAGAAAGCATCCCAGAATTATACAATCTGGACGAACCCACCTGATAGAATCCACTGATCATAGAAATGAGTTAGTTTCAAAATATAATGGTACAAAGTCATTTAAATGGACTAGATGACGACCTTCTTCAATGATAGAGGGCAACAAATCCAGCATTTCATATAAATCAGTATACTAAGGTTATGCATAGACAATCCACGTACAGAAATACAAACATAGCAGACGTTCTAACATAAATTAAGCCATGCTCCAAACAAGTTGATGCAATAAATTCTGACGTTAATTAACCCAACTTCCAAACAAGTTGATCCAATGAAGAGCTTCACAACAAGTACAATTACAACATTACCTAAAATGTAAATATTGGTCAAGGGAAAATTTTACCCACAAATGCAGAATTTAGAATACCACTAAAAAAAATTGAATGATAACAAATCGCTTGCAATGTCCTGCGTGAGTGACATCAAACAAGCCTAGGTGGTTAGGAACGACCAAGTTAGTACTTCAACCCTCACCTTCAATGCTAGCAATTTAGTAAACAAGCATACAGCCTGAGCCTTGAAGTGGGGGAATTTGTAGACACTAAAATTTTGACATGGTTTAATCACCGTCTAATCGGTCAACACAAATTAAATTATTTTGATTGATCAAAAGTCAAAAAGATCAAATTCTACCAAAATGTGTGTCCCACCAAAATTACAGGACTTAACCCATTTTAAGATGTGGGTCATGTCGAGAGAAAAGGGTCGACCCATTCTAACAATATGGGTCAACTAATTGAATAAACCCATGGATGCAGTCCCTCAATGACACATGTCAACATCATAAACATGGATTCATTCAAATTCGAATTTGTTTCTAAAATTCCAAAAGTAAACAAATTCCCTTGATTTTTAAATTGGGAGAATTTTAAAAATATGTAGCCCCCACCAAGCCTATAAATATAGACACATTTGTGAAAGAAAGGACATAGTGTCTCTACAAGTCAAAGCCAAAACTCAACCAGAAAGCTCTCTCAAGCTCCTATTCACACCAAGTCTCTAAAAAACTTCCGTCCTCCATTAAAGAGAAACAACAAGCTCAACTAGTTTCCATTGCTCCTCAGAAAAATTGTACTTCTAAAGATTAATCCTCTACAAACAAAATGTGTAGAGACTTCTTCTTCAGTTCACAGTAATTCAATGAGTTCAAAAAATCACTTGCTCGTTGTTTAAGATCAAGCTATGTTAGCCCTCAATTGGATTTCTTCAATCTTTTTGAATTTGACTTGAGATCTCCATGGATCTCACTGTTTCCAAGATCCACATGTAAGATTGGGTTCATTGATCCAGATGGAAGATCCCACTACCCCAATCCACATGTAAGATCCCACTTCCCTGATCCACATATAAGATCTCACCCAGATCCAGATTTACATGAAGGATCTAACCGCCTCTAACATCTAACTCCACTACCAAACGAAATTGATCACATGAGATCCATCACTCACAATCCATCTCCAACTTATACTTAGCTCTAGAATAACCTAGGCCAAGAGCACAACCAAGAAACTCCACTCAGGATCAATGGAGGATTTGTGGCTTGAAGGCTAGAGTTGAGAGATCATCAAATCTCCTGCTCGAGAACACTAGACCAATCTTAGACGAGAGAGGTTTCGCCATGTCATGTGTCGGCACCTACAACTGCAACGTGTGACACACCCAACACTTGTGCCATGGTGCATGGATGGTGCGCATGACACTATCAAGATTCGCTAACCACTTTGATATGGTCGCGACAGAAGATCATTGACAAATCATGAAATGGATACTATTGGGAGATCCTTCTTTATATGAGGTGGTCTCCCCCAAGCAACGGATCCAGCTATCAATATATAAGAGCACAACTCTATCTATGGTACAAAAGACTCTATTGCTGCCCTCTCTATTCTATGAGTGCCTTAGCTCTCTCCTCATCCAGTTCAAGTGATCCCGAGCCATTCAAGTGCCCACCATCTTACCAGATCAGCTTGTTCCAGCACTAACTCGTGAGGTGGTGGGAAAAAAAAAAAAAAAACTCATGATCCTTGCTCTCAAGACAATCTCTTGAGGGAAATCTTGGATTTATTTGTTTGACTTCAAGTGGATAATACTCGGGTTGGGAATATAGATTCACGATGCAGAGGTAACACTCTGATCCTTTTCGAGGTCATTTACCTCGTTGAGATTTACCAAGGCCCTTTGGTTGTTCAGTGCTATGAAGCCATCACTTTTCCGACTTCTATGTTTGCTTATTGTTGCCAATGCTAAAGGAAATAAGAAAAAAATAAGCAGGGAGAAAGAGAAAGAGAAAGAGAAAGAGCAAAAGTTTTTCAATTTATTCATAGCTTAGTTCATAGTTTGGGGGCCAATGTCAATCAATATAAGTTTCATAAAATTCTCTAAATATGTAGAAACAGTCAAATTTTGTGCTAGCCAACATAACATTAAGTAAGCCACCAAATGTTCTTCCTAAAACCAGTATAACTTCTAGGGAGAAAACAAAAGAAATATTCTTCTAAACAGACTCTCTTTAACAAGACTCTACTGACAAGCAAAATCAATTCCATGTCGTCTTGTTGCTGAGTCCCAATAAAGCCTCCAATTCAATGACTTAAAGATGTGGTGAGGTCTACCATCTCTGAAGATCCATTAAGAAATATTACAGGTCCAGAAATTCTCCACCATAAATGTTGGAGGAAGTAGTTTTATTGTATTGCTCATACATCTCACCCATTTCAGAAAGGAGGTATCACTCTCTCAAAAAACCCCTCCCTTGAGTGCAAGGTGCAACTCAAACTAATTTCAAAGACTTTGCAAAAGCTTAAGCAAATGTGTTAAAACCTATCACCTACTTCACCCACTTCACCTACTCCACTACACCTACTCCACTCACTTCACCTACTCCACCCACTTCACCTACTCCACTTCACCTACTCCACCTACTACTTATTCTTCTCTTCTATATATAGGAATCATTGTAAACATAACAATATATGAATCAATAATACAATTCTTTATTTCTCTTTATACATTAAATTTCTACAGTCTTAAATATACATATACCCACTTTCAACTGTGCTCTTTCCCAAACCAAACCAAACCAAATTATACCAAAGTAAGCCTTGTGTCCCAATGGGGATAGGCTACATGAATCCTTTTTCACCATTTTGATTCGGAGTTAGCGGAAGCTGTCACTCTCTCAGTTTCCAGATGAACCATCATCCAAGCTAAAGCATGATGAGCATGGTCTTTTATCAATGGCAGCAGCAGCATCTCCCGAGACTCGATCTCCCTCTCTCTCTCAGCCCCTGATTCTTCTTCGTCAAGCAACCACCATGGCATAGAATAAGGAGCTTCCTCCATCTCAACCACTGCCGTAGCCCCTCTCTCGGGCATGGGCTGTCTGTCTCTCTCGGCTCTCATCTTGGTTGTTTTTTGGCTCTCCACCAACTATGTTTTTGTCTCTATAATTGATCTAGGCTTGGGATCAAGGAGCAAGGCCCCGGCAGATGTTTTTGTCCTCTTTGAAGAACGTCTGCAGATGTTCATTAAAGAATATCGGATGATGGAGGCAATGCTAGGAAAACTTGAAGATGAACATGAAGAGGCTATTGTCAAAATTGACAAATGATCTTTGCTATTCTGGTTTCCACCCCGGCTTGCATAAAAACATGCTTGTCGAAAGGTGTGCTCAACCCGACATCTGTCCAGAATTCACTTTCAATACTTGTTCTTGATGAGGCAGATCTTCTTTTTCTTATGAGGAAAACATTTTTTTAATATTTTTACCTCAACCTCTCCCTCTCGGCAGACCTATGCACATGGGCACACACTCACCACACAACCCAGATACACACACATGCACGACATCCCTCTCTCTTCATCATGTAGCCCACTCTCTCTCTATCATCATTCCACCATTTTGAAGTGAATAGTGCTGGTGGGCCCTACCACTAGCAATAGCAATTTATAATCATAAGTTCTCTCTCTCTCGTGAGGGAGAAAAGGAGAGCCTGGAGCTAAAGCTTAAAACACATGCACACCACCATCACTACACCCAACTTTCTTTTTATTATTTTATTTTTTCTTTTTCTTAAAACAGAACCAAAACCAGTCTACTTGTCAACCCATCATCCACATCTTTGTTTTGACAAAAACCCAATTTTATTTATTTTATTTTATCTTCTCTTTTCTATTAAAATAAAAAAATAAAAATAAATAAAAAAAACCTTCTATTCATTCCATCTCATTTTTCTGCTCAGTCTTGTACCTTCATGCCATTTGGATTTGCATAACAACCCATATTTTATTCATTTCAGGGATCAACCCCGATCACCATTTTACACAAAAAAAAAAAAAAAAAACAAAAACAAAAACAAAAACAAAAACAAAAACAAACACAAAACAAAACAAATCCAACACCCACAAACAAAAGATTTGTTTTCTTTTTCTGCAGACGGTCATCCACCGACCTCACTTCTTCGCCTCTGCCGCCGGTCTTTTCTTCCTGCCTCCGTCCTGGGCGGTCCTTGACGGTGCTGCCTCCGTGTTTCCCACGCGGCCGAGCACGTTCACTCCCCCATACTCCTCCACTGCCGCATATGGCGGACCTCCAAATCGGAACATCACAGTGGCCTTCCGCTTCAGCTCCTTGTTTTCTGCCTTTAGCACACTTATCTCTGCTCGCGCATCCTTATACATGCGTTGGAGCAGAGCCAGCTGGGAGTTTAACTGCTGCACCTCATTTGCCCTACTCTGCAGCCGGTTCGACAAATTTGTAACCGCAGTCATGGTTTCCACGAAATAGGTACTCAGCCGGTGCGACAAGTTTGTGACCGCAGTCATGGTTTCCACACATGACTTCAGAGTATACTGATTGGCCTCAATATCAGTTTGCACCGCCATTTTTTGCTCCACCGACCGCATCGGAAAGTTCAACGGAGCAAAACCAGGGGTGTTTGGTTGAGGTTCACTGGCCACCGCACCAGTTATCTCTCTTGTTGACTCGTTGAGGTTGGGAAAGAGAGTGAGCAGACCACAGGACGAAGAGGCCATATTCTGGGTAGCTGAACGGGAAGACGAGGCCATGTTATGGGTTGCTGAGTGTTTCAGAGAAGGGTTGGTTACAGAGTGTTACAGAGTATCTCTCTCAAGACAACGAAGAGTTTCTCAGAGGTTTTTAGCCAGTTTTTTGTCTTAGCCTCTGCCTCAGCTTCAGCATCCGTCTTGGTTAAATAGCCAAGGCAGACACGCGCATCGCGCGCCACTTGACGCCAGACGACAAAACGGGCGCGCAAGCCAATGTGGTGACGCGCCTCGCCATCATGTCCGGCACATCTTTTTATGACTTGGGCTCGCCTTTTGATGGCACGCCTTTTTATGGACATTGACAAATCATGAAATGGATACTATTGGGAGATCCTTCTTTATATGAGGTGGTCTCCCCCAAGCAACGGATCCAGCTATCAATATATAAGAGCACAACTCTATCTATGGTACAAAAGACTCTATTGCTGCCCTCTCTATTCTATGAGTGCCTTAGCTCTCTCCTCATCCAGCTCAAGTGATCCCGAGCCATTCAAGTGCCTACCATCTTACCAGATCAGCTTGTTCCATCACTAACTCGTGAGGTGGTGGGAAAAAAAAAAAAAAAACTCATGATCCTTGCTCTCAAGACAATCTCTTGAGGGAAATCTTGGATTTATTTGTTTGACTTCAAGTGGATAACACTCGGGTTGGGAATATAGATTCACGATGCAGAGGTAACATTCTGATCCTTTTCGAGGTCATTTACCTCGTTGAGATTTACCAAGGCCCTTTGGTTGTTCAGTGCTATGATGCCATCACTTTTCCGACTTCTATGTTTGCTTATTGTTGCCAATGCTAAAGGAAATAAGAAAAAAATGAGCAGGGAGAAAGAGAAAGAGAAAGAGCAAAAGTTTTTCAATTTATTCATAGCTTAGTTCATAGTTTGGGGGCCAATGTCAATAATATAAGTTTCATAAAATTCTCTAAATATGTAGAAACAGTCAAATTATGTGCTAGCCAACATAACATTAAGGCATAGTTTGGGAAGTTGGTTTTAGTGGGTTAGGGGCTAAAATAGCCACACAAAAAAAAAAGCCTATTTTAGCCACAAAAAAACAAAACATCAAATCCAACCCATAATCATTACACTCATCTCTCACAAAAAAAGTCAAAAAAGCCAAAAAGCCAAAAATCCCTTCCCAAACCAAGCTTTTTAACCCCAGGCTAAAATAGCCAAAAAGCCAACCCACTTCCCAAACGGAGGCTAAGTAAGCCACCAAATGTTCTTCCTAAAACCAGTATAACTTCTAGGGAGAAAACAAAAGAAATATTCTTCTAAACAGATTCTCTTTAACAAGACTCTACTGACAAGCATAATCAATTCCATGTCGTCTTGTTGCTGAGTCCCAATAAAGCCTTCAATTCAATGACTTAAAGATGTGGTGAGGTCTACCATCTCTAAAGATCCATTAAGAAATATTACAGTTCCAGAAATTCTCCACCATAAATGTTGGAGGAAGTAGTTTTATTGTATTGCTCATACATCTCACCCATTTCAAAAAGGAGGTGTCACTCTCTCAAAAAAGCCTTCCCTTGAGTGCAAGGTGCAACTCAAACTTAATTTCAAAGACTTTGCAAAAGCTTAAGCAAATGTTGTTTTAAGGTTGGTGAAATCAGATTTTTCGAAAGAATTCCATTTCCTACTACCTCTTCAACACGTTATTCTACTTTCAAGGTCAAGAGATAAGAGAGGATGATAAAAATATTTTTCTTACAATTTTTGAGCAATAGACTGATTGCAATCAATATCCTGTTACTGATATTCTTGTTAAACAACAGAACTCTAACAAGCAGAAGAGCTAAAGGTGCGAAACCTCATGGCATTAGCAACCACAAGAAGCTCTCTCGAACATGCATGAATTCAAAATTAAAATGCCAAAAATAACTACTCCAGAAATCATTAATGCTTGTAATCTTAAATTGCTTTCAAGTTTTCTTCTAGTTTAGATATTTCTTCACTACAATAATGAAGTTCTTCTATAACAAATAGGATCAACTATGGCAAGTTTTCTTCAATCTCTCCTCTAATTTGCTTATCACTGCTTTTCATTTCTTTATTGAAAATTCCCTTGGGGATTGTTGGAATTTATGTTAGAAGTTAAGGCTTATTGTCAATGTCAAGAAATATATATCTTTCGACATATACACTTTCTAAATTTCAAATGTACATACTTCATATAAAAATATATAATTTTTATTTACTTCATAGAAAACATATATTTTTCCCATAGCCTTACCCTGTCCTGATTTTAGAAAACCTCTGCGTTAGCATGGCAGTTTCATGTCACATCCATGTCAATGCTTCATAGGCCTTACTAGCTTAAAACACCCTTCTCACATCCTCGAGAGAGAATTTCTAATGCAAGTTGTACATCCACAATAGTGCAAGTATCATCTGACCACAAGATTTTGAATGATAAAGACACAAAAACATAAGGAGCCATGTAATCTGAACTATGCAGCATACGTAGTGATTGGAATCAATTGAAGGTTATCGACAGCGAAATATAATATAACTAAAACTCAAGCAAACCATGCACATCAAAATGCAATACCATAATGCCCAATAGTATCGTATATATTTGCAAGTAAGGGCCATTCATATGCTTTTGAATTGATGTAACTTCCCTTGGGGAGATCTGATAATGGGTTAGAATGGAGAACACCAGAAATTCAAAAATAGATCAGTGCGAAATTGTGTAATTTAAACACGGGACAGAAGCATGTTTACTTGTGACAACCCCAATTATTTTTTAGTAACAAGCAGAGATCAGAAAGGTGAGATCATATCAAACAAATCATGATCCACAATTATGAAATATTAGGACACATAACAAGTAAAATACCTTTTATGGTGCAATTCAAATCAGAATCACCAACCCATGACTTGAATGATAATGCCATACTGAACTTTTGCTTGAATTTTGACGACAGGATGCTGAGAATATTCTTTCTTGTCACAGCAACAAAATCTCCCTTCACACTCCATTCAACTATTAACAGAATGAATTCAAAAAGTAAAAACACAACCAATTTAACAGAAAGTTACTGCCAACTCCACATTAGTAACAAAATATATTACTTTACGCTATTACAGCACATAAGATATAGACGATTAACAGCACAAATTTGTACAAGCTAGCTTTTAAATAAAGCCAATAGAAGTTACAGTGTGGAACAGTAACTACATTAGATTTTCTTATAGCACTGTCACTATGAAATCCAGAACTAGCGTACTACCTGCTGGAATTAGAATCAATTAGATTCATTAGGTCTTTTTTTATGGCTATTGTTTAGGCCTTTGATTTTGTTTCCTTTTATAGTTTTTCCTATCTTGTACATGTCTTTCAGTATATATATGCAGGCTAGTCTTCATTCTAGACTAAGCCATTCAATTCATTCTCTTCTTTTTGGTATCAAAGCTATTAACCCTAACCCTAACCCACCTTTCTTCTCACTCAGCAGCCTCTTTCTTCTTCTTCACCTCTGACAGCCCCTCTTTCTCTCTCCCACTCTCTCTCGATCTGGAGCTTCCAGATCCAAATCTGAGATAGAAGAGTGAGAGAACCTGAGAGATGATGAACAAAACTCTGCCATCTTTCCCTTTCTCGGCCCTAGCCCAACCCTCCTACATTGCCCAACCTTCCCTTCTCCCCGGAGAGCCTTCTCTCTTTCCGACAAGGCCTCGGTTGAAGCCGACAGCCCTTCCTAGGGCAGTTTGGCAGATTGGTGCCCTGTTCGAGGTTGTGTGCTGATGTGGCAAGCACCAGTTTTTAATTTCTTCTGTTGTTTTGGGCTGCCCGTGTGCTCGTAGCATTCAGAGTACGCCGTTTTTCTGGCTTTTGCATGTACTATTGTTGGTTGTTTGGTTCACTATGACTATTATCATGACTAATTCAACTGGTCCCCTTGCTAAACCAATTGGCTCCGAGTTTTCCCCCTCTCAACAAGCTCCTGCTCATTATAATACGAGTCTCTTGTTGAATGGGAAGAACTTCGCTGCATGGAGTCGCTCTCTCAAATTGTATTTTGGGGGCAAAGGCAAGTCTCATTGGCTCCTTATGGCAGAGACTCAACCTCTTGATGATGATCCTAATCATGGACAATGGGATATTGATAACTGTGTTATTTTGGGCTGGATGTTTAATTTTATGGAAGACTGGATATACCACATGTTCATGTATTATGACACGGTTCTGCATCTATGGAAGGCTCTTACTCAGATGTATGCTCATGCTCATAATGATGCTCACATCTTTGAGCTTTATCAAGACATCTCTCATGCTTCTCAGACAGCTTTGGGTCTCTCGGTTGCTAAATTCTTTGGGTATTTACAGGCTCGATGGGAGGAATTGGCTCAATATGAGCCCTTGAGTGACTTTCCAATGGAGGAAGCCTCTCTTGTCTCTAAACGATTGGACCACCAGCATACTTACCAGTTTCTAATGAGTTTAAAACCTAAATTTGAGTCTTCAAATTCAAATTTTGAACACCTTTCCGATACCATCTTTATATGAGGCCTTTGATATTATTGATAGTGACGAGCGTCGTCGCCGTTTGGTTTGGCCTGCATCTCCTGCTACTCTAGAGCCTTTTCCTGTTCGCGATCAAATGGCTCTTGCTGCGAACTCTGGCTCTCGTGGCTCCTCTGGGAAGATTACATGTCACCACTGTGGGGAAACTGGTCATATCAAAGCTCACTGCTTCAAGCTCCATCTTGAATTGAAGCAATAGTTTGCTCAGAACCGCAGAACTAGCGCCACTCACACTGCTGCTATTATGGAATTAGTTCTTGCTACTAGGTCATCTCATGTTCTTGACTTGCATCAGCTTCAATCTCAAATTGGCCAGCTTCAAGCTCAGTTTGGTGCTCTTACTACTCATCAGTCGGGCCCATCCGCACCCACTGCTACCCTTGCTATAAGTACTTTTACTGTTTTACATGTTCGGTCTGCTCATCCCACATAGGTTTTGGACTCAGGGGCTAATGATCATATGATTGGTGAGTTATCTTCTTACTCTTCTCCGGCTCCTCTTACTATGAGTCAAACTATTTGTCTTGCGGATGGCTTTCTCTCCTCTGTAAGTCATAAGGGTGTTGTGCCTTTATCTCCTGATATATCTCTTTTATCTATTCTTTATGTTTCCAAGTTTGCCTATAATCTATTGGTCTACTAGTCGTCTTGCCAAAACCCTTAATTGTGTAGTCATTTTCTTACCCACTTCTTGTATTTTACAGGACCTAAGTTCGAAAAGGATTTTTTGCAGTGGATTTGAGCGCGATGAGTTGTGTTACTTTGGGGATCCTCCACCTTCATCACCGCCACCACCTCCTTCATCTAGTTTACAGGCACCTATTTTGCCTACTTCAGTATCTTGTGTTTTTTCTAGTAAAACTGTAGCCTTGTGGCACTCTCGTTTAGGACATGTAAATTTTCAATATTTATGTTTACCTTTTCCCTCTTTAAATAAAGCCTATAAGGATTCTCATTTTCATTGTGAAGTTTGTGAGTTGGCTAAGCATACTCATAATAATTATATTCCTCATATGACTCGTGCACCGTGTGCCTTTGACCTTATTCATTCTGATGTTTGGGGACCCTTCTCCTCTACTTGCTTTATCTAGTCATAGACATTATGTGACTTTTATTGATAATCACACTAGGTGTACATGGGTGTATCTTCTAAGACGTAAATCTGAGGTCTTTTCCATTTTTGTTCAGCAATATAAGTTTGTTGTCCGAAATATCGGCTCTAATAATGAGGGGGAGTACATATCAGATGCTTTTCGCTCTCTTCTTAATCAGGCGAGTATTCTCCAGCAACTTACTTGTCCTCGTACTCTTGAACAAAATGGGGTGGTTGAACATAAGAATCATCATATTATGTCTGTGGTTCGATGTCTTCTTCATGGTATGAATGTTCCCAACCTGTACTGGCATATGGCTATTCTTACGGTTGTTTATTTAATTAACCGCACTCCAAGTGGTGTCTTGCAAGGTCTTGCTCCTTTTCAAGTCCTTAGGCCTGATAGCACCATGTTTCCTATCCTTCCTCATGTGCTTGGTTGTACTTGCTTTGTGCAAAATCAGAGTCCTTCCTACACTAAACTAGATGATAGGGCTGTCCGTCGTATTTTTCTGGGGTGCTCGTCTTTATCTAAAGGGTATAGATGTTATGATCCCGTGTCTCAGCATTTTTATCATTCTTTGGATGTCACTTTCTATGAGGATTTGTCGGTTTTTGGTTCTAATATTCCCTTGCAAGCTCCTGTTGTGGTTCCTTCCTCTTATTTGCCTTCTCCTGCTCATCCTATTCCCATTTTTTATCCCAACACATCAGATGCCTTGGATAATTCTGAAGAACCTAGCCCTCCACCATCTCTACTTTCTGCACCATACACTCGTCGCCCTCAGCCTCCACCAGAATCCTCTTCTCCTCTTAAGTCAAGTAATTCTCCTTCTCCTCTTGCTCCTACACATTTTTCTCAGCATCCTGATAGCGAGCATCATCCTCCTAATCGTTATGGTTGGCTTAGTAGTACTAATCATCCTATTTCCCAATATCTCTCTTATGATGGTCTTACCGATTCTTACTGCTCTTTTTTAGGCAAACTTGAGTCGGTTTCTATTCCTCGTTCAGTCTCTGAGGCCCTCCAGAGTCCCAAGTGGGTCATAACTATGTAGGCTGAGATGGATGCTTTAGAACAAAATCAAACATGGGAGCTTGTTCTATAGCCTACTTGCGAGAAGAAGGTTGGATGTAAATGGGTATTCACTATTAAATACCATGCTGATGGGTGGATCGCTATAAAAGCTCGTTTGGTTGTCAAGGGCATTACCCAGGTTCCTGGTAAAGATTTTGGTGACTTTTGCGCCAGTGGCAAAATTGACTTCTATTCGCCTTCTTATTTCTTTGGTTGCAGCTCATTCTTGGCCTCTTTACCAACTTGATGTCAAGGATGCTTCTCTCTATGGGGACTTACTTAAGACTATGTATATGGCTCCTCCACTCAGGTTTCGGGCTAAGGGGGAGTATGCAGGGAAAGTGTATAGACTTCGCAAGTCTTTATATGGTCTAAAACAGTCTCCTCGGTCTTGGTTCAGCCGTTTCAGCAAAGTTACCTTGTCTATGGGCTTTGTTCAGTGCCACTCTAATCATACCTGCTTCATTAGACGACAAGTGAATTGCCAGTGCATAGTTTTGCTTATCTATGCTGATGATATTATTCTTACAGGCGATGATGTGATAATGGATCTTAGCCATGAGTTTGGCATTAAAGATTTGGGTCCTCTCAAGTACTTTCTTGGTATTGAGGTGGCTCATTCTCGTTGAGGGGATTCCTTGTCTCAAAGAAGCATACCTTGGATCTTCTTCAAGATACTGGTATAATGGGTTGTCAACCGACCTCTACACCCATGGATCCTAACTTGAAGCTTACAGTTAAATCTAGTGAGGTATTGAGTGATCCAAGCATGTATCAGCGGTTAGTGGGTCGGCTGATTTATCTAACCAACACTAGACCAGATTTGACATTTGCTGTAAGTGTTGTGAGTCAGTTTATGCATGCACCTCATGCAACTCATCTTGATGCAGTTTATCATATCTTACAATATTTGAAGACTACTCCTGGTTTAGGACTATTCTTCTATGCAGGCCTTCAGTCTAGGTTGTCTTGTTTCACTGATGCAGATTATGCTGGCTCCAAAATAAATAAGCGTTCTACTTCTGATTTCTATACCTCCTATGGGAATCATCTCATATCATGAAAGAGTAAGAAACAGGCAGTTATCTCGAGATCTTCGACTAAAGCTGAGTACCGTACTATGGCACAAGGCATTTGTGAGATACTATGGCTTAGGTCAATACTTGCAAAATTGGGTTTTCACGAAAATACTTCATCACTGTTATTTTGTGACAATAAGTTTGCAATTCTATTGGCATCTGATTCAGTTCTTCATGAGAGGACTAAACATATAGAAGTGGATATTCATTTTATCAGAGAAAAGATTAGGACAAATGTTGTGAGTCCGTCCTTTGTCTCTTCGTCTGAGCAACTTGCTGATATGTTTACCAAATCAGTTGGTCCAACCTTATTACAGGCTTCTATTGCCAAGCTGGGTTTGGTGAACATCTTTGAACTCGATTGCGGGGCAGTGTTGTAATTAGAATCAATTAGATTCATTAGGTCTTATTTTATAGCCATTGTTTAGGCCTTCGATTTTGTTTCCTTTTATATTTTTTTCCTATCTTGTACATATCTTTCAAGGTTCGTTTGTTTTCAGAGGTAGATTGGACGAGATTGTTAGCGAGGGGATTACTAGTGAAGAGGCTAAGAAAATTTGTGTTTGTTTGATAACCAATGGACTAACAATAATTCATGTTTGTTTTGAGAGATAGGAGTGGGATTAACTAGTAAAATTCCATAAATACCCTTGTTACATTATTATCAAATTTGGAAATTGTTAGAGAGTAGATTATGAAAAATTGTGTTTGTTTGTGATATATTTTAATATTAAAAATTATGTCTTACAAAAATATTATTATATTAAATTATTTTTATAAAACATAATTATTTAATAATTAGAGAACCAAAAGAAAAAAAATCAGCCCATCCCATTGTTTTCCAAAACCAGTCCATGGTTTTAAACATTGTATTGAAAGATATTATTCACTTAAATATTGGTTCATTCATCATCTTTGCCTTCTCTGTCAAAAAACAAAACCAAAGCTTTGCCTTCATCCGTCAGCACCGTAACGACGACGATGACGTTGATCTTCACTATCAACGACAATGCCAATCATCACCGTCATTCACTGCAACGATGCAGATCATCACCGTCAACAACGACAACGACAATCTTCACCGTCAACGCAATTTTGTTTTTCTTGCAAATTTCAATTTTGTATATCGTGTATGTCTTTTCATTTGTATCTCTTTTGTTTGATTTAGTCAAAGATCGGAGCATCGCTCTTCAATTTTACTGATCTAATTTGCAATTTGTCTACACTTCTGTTTGGTTGCTGAGAAAACTGAATGAAATATGCATATATATATATATGATAAGAGAACAGAGAGAGAGAGAGAAGAGAAGAGAAGAGGGTAAATAAGTAAATCACTCCCTTAATACCAACGGACTAATCTTCAATACCAAGTGTTAGGGCAGACTAACAATCCCAATATGCAGGGCCCATCTGAAGCCCTCTGACTTATGAATCCATTTCCCAAATCTGCAAACAAACCGGAGGTATGTTCACTGTTCATCATTCACAGTCCACTCCAGACTATGAAAGAGGAAAACAAACGGGGCCTCAGTATATATACACAGGCTAGTCTTCATTCTAGACTAAGCCATTCAATTCATTCTCTTCTTTTCTTCCAACCCACCCAGTGTTGTTGAAATTAGAGGATGTCTATGGAATATAGTCAAGAGGCTCAATGAGATAATCATTGATAAAGTAGACATAATCCACATGTTCTATATATGACATGTGGGCTTGATATAATAAACAAACTTACCTGCATCAACATTGTCCATAACATATTTAAGAGGGTCTTGTGAAGCTCCATAGTATAACTTCCCATGATTTGAAAGAACAACATAGAAATTTTCCAACTTTTTAGTCCATCGCATGTCCTTGACACAACTTGAGTCGTTGAGTGAGCAAGAGAAAGATGGATTTTGTTCCTGTTACAAGCAAAAACATATAACTATATAAATTCACTGAAAGCAAAATGATGGCCACATATAATGATTCTTATGGATCATAACTCGAAATACAAATCAAAAAAACATAACTAATTATTACACTACCTGAATGGCAAAAACACCACTTACACTCTGCTATGTGTCGTTTCTACAAAATGAGCTGTATTATGGCCTTAACATGGACTTCACACAGGTTGTGCAAAGCTCTTAGGGCACATTTGAATGCCGTATTATTTTTCATGGGATATGATGGGATTATTGATAGGATTGTAGGGGATAAGTTATACCTTGGGAGTAGATGGGATGAAAGATTGGATATATGATAGGATTATGGATACTATTATGGGGATAAGTTATACCATTCGATAAATAGATGGGATAAAGAATTCAATGAAGGGGAGTGAGGTAATATCTTTGGTTAGGATGGCATAAAAGGATATGATTTTTTTTACCGTCGAATGGAGGGAAATAATCCAGAGAAACCTAATCTCCGTAATACCACAATTCCTATCGCATTACTTAATTCACCATTTAATCACCCACACCTGTACTTGAGTTATTTAAAGTTTTAATATCATGATAAACAAACAACAAACCCAAAAACATGCGGGACCCAGTTGCCCCTCACCTCTTACCCCCCATGTAGAGAACCAATCATACGTGGCCTTAGGGTTTTAAGTCTGCATGTGTCATACCAAAATATTTTTGAAGAACGTGTAGTTTCAAATACAAAGATGCTAGAGATTTTGCTTTCATGGATTACAAAGATAATTATTATGTATAAATATGTCTCGTTTATCTCGTTTATTTATTTATTCTTGATAAATAAACAAACTTTATTAAAGAAGCATCAAGACGATACAAAGAATACAAAAAGAACAAAACCCATAAAGGGCCCAAAACAAAACTAACTAATCAAGGCCTCCAAAAAAACAACAAATGTCAAAACATCAGGATCCATCGAAACCGTAAGCCAACTATGAATAAATATGTCTCGTTTATTAATTATTTCTGGATATAACATAAAGAAAACTGAATCTGCCAATAAATGTTACTAACTTCTACACAAAGTACCGAGCTCAGTACTGTAGAATAGATAGGACTAAAACAAGACTAATTGTCATGTGGCCTAGACCCTTGACCTACATGGGAAGAAGAAAGCCCATTTGAGCCCACCAATGTGTCCCCCTATAGCCGTCACTGGACGTAAAACTACTTTTGGATGGGTTAACTCCTGTTTTCCAGGAAAATTATACTATTAATCAATAGGGGTATTTTGATATTTTAAGGATTAAATGTATTTTTGCAATTTTAGATTTAGCGGTAAAAGTGGTTGTTTGTTACTCTTAGGGGGTCCATGTGAGTAATGTGTTTGTTTAGGAAATGCATCGAGTTCTATTCTTATATAAAAATATGTTTGAATCCTAGTTAGTTAATAAAATCTTTTTGCCAACAAACTCCCAACTCCTATAACCTTTTTTCTATGAAACCCTAAAACCCTAATGGTACATTTGGTACGTTGGGATGGGTTGGAATCGTCACTGTCACCCTACTACCATTACCGTTGTCACCATCCCCAAAGCTGCCACCACCTGACAACCCCAACCCCTACCATCACTAACCCACAACTACCACCATCGCCACCCTAGAACCACCACCACTACCCCACTTTACCACCCCACCCCCACAGCCACACCATGCTATGCTATTGTTGCCATACCACCACCACTACTACCACAACCACCAACACCATCATTGATCTACAAATATTTAATTTGATTGTTACTTTTTTACTTAAAAATTACATTCCATTTCGTTAGCATAATAGGTATACAAAACTTAGGAATGGGAATAGACATTTCTATTCCATTCAACCTTGTATTATAATTCTTCTCATTCTATTCTTACTTCATTCCATTCCTACATACCAAACATAGCCTACGACTTTGAACCTAAAACCTTACTTCATTCTATTCTTACGTACCAAACATAGCCTAAGACTTTGAACCTAAAACCTTACCCTAAGTTACGTTAGAAATGAAAGCCCTCAAAATGAACTAGATACCCTATTGTCTAGAAATTCCCAAATCTCCTCACAACTAGAAAAATCCAGCAAGCTATGCCCTTTTTTTCATACCAAAAACAGCCCAACCTCTACCAATTATATCCTTAAACCTTCATTTGACCCTGGTTCTACTTACACAACCTAAAGCCCTATAAATCAAAGCCCTAGCCCACCCAAACCTGATTGTGGGATAACCTAAAATTCCTCATTGAAGGCTATACCCTGCATCAAATCGAATCGGTTCTCTTACCTACTCACATGCCCAAGTGCCAAAAGTGAACGCCATCAATAAAACATAATCTATTAAAGTTAACTAAAAATGTCAATAACTTAATGGTTACACGTTCAAACACCCATTTTGAAATGGTAAATTGTTGTTCTAATGCACCAAGCATAGAATCTTGTCCGAGGGGTTTGAGGTGGGTTAAAAGAGTTGAAAGGATCAACAAGAGGCATAAGAGTTGAGGTAAAGCTTTTAATGTGTTCAATGCAGCAAGAGTTCAAGGGCTCATGTGTCAGATGTTTGTTACCAGAAGTGCACATCAAAGTTCCAAAATAGTACCCATGGGTCATGCTCAAGCCACCCTGAGCGCAAGGAGGAGAATTTGAAAGACCAAAAAACTTCATAGAAAGGGTAAGAGACCCATAAATGGTGAAAGTCTACTTGGCCTTAGTTGCAATTGGAAGTGGTTATGAGGATTAGAAAAAGGGTTAACACGATGAGGTTTAGGGATGGCAAAGTCATAGTTGCTACAACTGTCAAGAAAGTATATGATAACGCTCCAAAATCTGGAGAGTTGTTTTTAGTCAAATGCTCCCTGATTGCAATGACTGGGCAATCAACAAGGACCCAGAAAAAGAGTATTTGGCCTTTCAAGCAAATATGGCTTTGAAAATATTCCTTCTATCTCTACTAAACCTAGAAATGTTATGTTCTTTTATGTGATTTTCAACTCTATTCAGAAAACATTCCTTCTACCTCTATGCCCTCTCACCTATGAAGCACAGGTACAGCTACGAGCACTGGTACTAGTACGATACGGTAAAATCCAAAAAAAATAGAGTACGGGTACGGTTTGGTACGTTTGTAAAAAATATTTATTTTTAATTTGGAGTGATGCAAAATTTGATTAAATGGTTTAATTTGTTAAAATCCAACCTACAATTAATATTTAATGCCAAAAGTAAAGGTATAAACCAAAATTAAATGTCATTATATTAAATAACTTACAAACCATAACTTAATTTTAAAATCATGTTAAATATAAAACTAAAAATAAAAAAGACATATAGTGACAGGAATTTTATCTTTTTAGTAGAAGAAAATATTGTTTCGACTAAGATATGGTATGACTTAGGTATATAATAGGTATGTCTAGCTACGCCAAACAATTAAGAAGAAAAAATTTGTGTACGTGTTTCGTATACCTAGTATGTATGCAGAAGTACCACACAAAATACCATACGCCGGAAAGTACCCAGTACGGATATAACATGTTTGTCGAAGTACCCATGCTTCATAGCCTCTCACTCTCTCTAACAATAAATAAAAACAAAAAAAAAAATGTTCATGCAAAGTGCGTTTCCCACGATCACTTTCTTGTTATTTCGGAAATTTTCAATCCAATCCTCTGTAGATCATATACACTAAAATAGAGTAACAAGTTTTTGAAAGAATTATACAGCACATAACCTTAGACTTAGTTTCTCAGCCATCATCAAAAATAAACCAACTAGGTATTGAATTTTATTTGAGAGCACTATCAAATGTAGTCAAACAATGTTCAAATTGAAACATGCAAATTGCAATGAACACCAAAATCTTTCATCAACAAGCAAAATGTTAATGACTAAGCTCAAGTATCAATGAAGGAATGACGAAAACTACAAAATATCACTTTGAGGAAAGAAAAACAATTGATGATTCATTCAAAATTCAGGGGACTACAATTAAAGCAGACTGTAGCAAAGATCCTCAGTAGTTTATGATAATACTTCCTGAATAGAGTTGAAAATCACATAAAGAACATAACATTCTTACATTGATAGATATGGCTTTGAAAATGAATATTGGAAACGAACCCAACCTTATCGAGGAGAGAGCTGACAGAGAAGAAATGAATGTCGCCACCAATAGAGGCAGCAAGAGTGGAAGAGTTGGCCGACAAAGCTAATATGTACACCTTCCCAATGGGGACATCCACAACACCCAGCTCTTGTATTGACAAACCAATCCCTTTCTCCTCAATCTCCTTGGCAGATTCTATAACATCCTTGGTCCTTGTAACACAAAACCCTAACAAAAGGATCAAAAAAAAAAAAGACAGAGAGAGAGAACACAACAAACCACATCAGAAAAGTTATGCAATAAGAAGAAGAAGAAGAAAAAGAAGAAGGAAAAAAAAAAAAAAAAAATTGAGATGATAAGAATCAAATGTCAACAGATAAGAGCATCTCCAATCCTTTATCAATTTCTTCATCAAATTCAAATTTGATGATAAAATGGCTAAAAATGTGGTGCAACCATTTTGTCAAATGTGTATCAAAGCAAGGGAGAGGCAATTTTTCTCACCAAATCAATGATGAACAGAACCCTTAACCAAATTTTCAATAGTCATATATGTACTCAAATTTGATGAAATTTTAAAAAGAGTAAGGATTAGATGTTTTTCTTTCATAAAAAATGGTTAAAATAAGTTTGGAATTTTTCAAAAAGATATGAAGAACCAAAAAATAAATAAATAAAAAGAGCAAGGGCGTCTCCAATCCTTACCCTTCACCCATATCAAATTTGAATTTGAGTAAAAATTCTCAAAACCTCTCTCTGACTCCTTTACTCAAAAATCATACCAAAATAAGTTTCACTCAAATTTTGATCCAAATCACTCAAATCTCTAAAGACAATTTGGGGTGATATACTAGCTTATAAATTTACAATTGTACCACTTATCAAACTTTCACTCACATTTATACTCAAATTTGAGTAAAAAAATGAGAAAGGTCTCGAGATGGGGATTGGAAGCTTTCAACAAAAATTTCAATACAAAGTAGAAAAAGATGAAATGAGTGTTATTGTTGGGTAGAAAGAAGACGGAGCAAACCGGTGGAATGGGCAACGAATATGAGGCCTCCAAATCGTTCAGAGACAGCGAGAGGCTGCGATGGAGGGCTCTCGGGATCGAATTCAGGATCATACCCTGAAACTGGGACAGGTTCTCCGATTCCAACGAAGCAGTAGTCATCTGAGCCTCGGTGGTCTCCTTCAACTTCCTCGTCCAATTCAACGATAACACTATCGTCCTCAGTTGCTGCCATTGAAGCTTGCTTGCAGAGAGATATACACAACCCTGATAAAAACCCTAACCCTAACAAAATGGAAGTTGGAAAAACAAGAAACAACAAAACTGAATTGAGACATTATTTTTTAGACTACTTCGGAAGTAAGTTTTGAGGCTCCTTCGGCAGTAAAGTTTTGGCTAAAATAATTATATAGGATAATTATTTTATTTTTAATTAAATAAAAAATTTATAATTATTTTATTTTTTTCTTATAAAAGATAAAGTTTTGGTTAAAATAATTATATAAGATAAAATTAGTTATTTTAATTAAATAGATAAAATTAGTTATTTTAATTAAATAAAAAATTTATAATTATTTTTTTTATTAAAAAAAAAAACAGGGGGTCCCACTACAAGACTCATATAATCTTTTAAAAAAGTATTTCTACATGACTCTTTCAATTTTGCAAAACATTCGAGAACTCGCCTAAAAGCATCACTCCATGGGTCAGCATCAATAATTGGCTCTCCGTCAAAAGAAGACAAAATCCATAGAAGATAGAAATTCTCCTCAGATATCAGAAAAATGCATGCCAAGAAAAGACAAAAAAGATTTTTGTAGATATTTTGTGAGTCTGTCAGTAATAAGGATTTTCCTTCACTCACTACTTTAATAAAGTGGATATCTCTTATCCTGCTTTATTAAAGAAAAGTTGTGAAAATCTTTATACGTGTCTTGCAATAAATTATAGTGTCAAAATTTTGTCCAAAAAAAAGGATTGAATGATATGCGATAGGGCCCAAAGTAGTACCCGATATCATTATCCTAATCTTTTATTGATAAAATTTATCTATATCCAGAATAGTGATTTAAGTCAAGCATATAATTGTATACATATATGTCTTGTCTTTATATGCATACAATTTTCCGTCAAAGTTTGCATATGTTTAGGAAAGTTTTCAAAAAGCCTAGAGTCTAGGCTTGTAGGTTAGTCATAGGACATAGATTAGGGTTTTTGTTTTTATCTTTCTTTTGAGTTGTATAAATTGGCTTGCATGCCAACAAAGAAAGCAGAATGAAAAAACACCACTTCACTCTACATTGTAAATTTTTCAACCCCTCTCAAAAACCTCTAAGTGTATTAAGTTTTTCAGAGTTTCAGAGTCTGTAATATAATCTTTGTAAGTATATTTCTTATTAATATGAAGTGTGAGTAATTTTTCTTTTTCCTTAAATATTTCGAAAGGGTAACTCTTCTATTCTAAAAATTTATTTTCTTTTTGGGAAAACTAAGTTTATGGAATGCTTGTTTGCTCATTAATATTACATGCTTTGAATCTTCGTAGTATCTTCAGTTTTCTATTTTGTTACTGAGTAACTTTAGCTGAAGAGCCCATGTGAGCCGTGGTTAGGCGTTGGAGGGCGAATTGTAGGCAGAAAGGGAAAAGTAAAAAATGGAAAATAAAAATATACTATGTTGAACGAGGCTTAGTCTCAAGGTGGGAGTACATGTAATGAAAACAAACATTGCCTAAAAATAGTTTTTGCCATAGAAAAGAATTTTAGAATAAAAGGAGAGCAACCCGAGTAGAAATATTAAAGAAATATTGTCCATATAAGAATTTCAAAAAATCAAAAATTTGTATGCCCTTAAACGTAGACCTTAGAAATAGAAATTAAATTTCAAATCAAAAAAGTATATGCCCTTAGACAAAGACCTTAGGAATAAAATTAAAATTAGTACTGAACTAATACAAAAATTAGAAGATCAAAAATTTAGATATCAGTTTCTTTTATCATTAGCTTCTAACAGATCTCTAGAAATTACAGTTTAAAAATTTCTCAGATAAATAGACAGCTAACTATAAAACAAGAAACCTTAAAGTTAGCCATACAACAGCTTGAAGATCTTTTAGCATAACTGTAGAATTAATTAGATAATTCTCAGCCCAATTCCAAATAGTGGTAGACCACTAACTCAACCCCCACAAAAATTGGTATCAGAGCAGTGTTCGGTTTTAGGACAGTTTAAGCTAGTTTATGCATTTTGCTTATGGTAATAGAGTAGTTTTTATTTTTGGAGATTTTAGTTATAAATTTCATATTATAGTAGCCTGTAATAATTTTAAAGTAGGAGTTAATTTTGTGTATGAAAAAAGTAGAGTATCTAGATTTAGAACTCAGCAGCCATAACCGTCGCCTTAGCATAAATAAAAATAATTTCCGTTGTAATTTTGAAGAGATTTTTACACATCAACTTCACAATTAACATAATCCTCAGCTAAACAGCATCATAAATTATCAGATTAATTTTGCAGAAAATACTAAAAAGGACATAGATAAAATTAGTAATATTTTTATTTCATCTATAGATCATCTTCGTAATAATCGTAGTATAATTAAAGATCAAGCTAAAAAATTAGATTATATCAAAGATCAGTGTAGTTCTATCCTATAAAAAAGAATAGATTTAAATTTAGAAAAATTTCCTACTAAGCTAGAAATAAAAACATTAATTTCAGCTACAAATCAAATAGCTAAACAAATAGAACAAATTAATCAAATTCAAGATAATTTAAAACAAAAATTAGAAATTTTAGAACAACTTGTAAGGTCTTAGTTTATGAGTAGTGATAAGAAAGTTAATAGAGATTACCAGACTATTTTAAAACAAGCAGAAGATTTTCATAATAACCCGGAAGGAATTAGTAATTATCAAGGAATAAATCAATCAGATAAAATATCAATAAGACAAAATAATATAGAAATTTTATTTTTAATTCGATTGTGTGAAAAATTTGAATACCTATCAGAACAACTACATAGCTTAGAAAATCGTTTAGCATCTTTAGAAAAAATAGTACTTCAGAAAGGAAAATGAATAGAAGGACAATCCAACAAACCTCAATCTCAAGTAAACGAGGAAGATATAGCTAGATATTTTGAAAAGCTTAAATTACCTAGGAAACCAGCGTGTAGAATTTACAGAAAATAAAAATGTTTAAACAGCTAATAAAAGGAAGTGGTAGTAAAAAGCGTAATGAAGATGAAGATGTTAAAGTAGAAGAATTTATAGATGTAGAACAGCAGATAGAAAAATTTTAAAAAGAAAAGTTAGAATTAATTCCAACTAAATATGTGTATAAGCTAGGTAAGATTCATAAAAAATAATATTTATTTAAACACTATGGTGAACAAATGATTAGTATGACTCAAGAAGATGAGAAAATAGAGCTAAATTTAATAGAAAGAGAAAGCTATAAATATGCAGTGAATGAACACCTTAAAATGACTCATTTAAGATTAGTAGTGGTAGGAGTTAAGGCTTTAACCAGAGAAAAATTAGGAACTAAAGTGTTTGTATGTCTCTACGATGATAGGTTTAATGATGTCAGACAGAGTATTTTAGGTAGTTATGAACTAGATATGAATTCAAAAGGAGGAATAGTTTATTTTACACTAGATTTTTTACTACCAACCTCGACCTTTCATAAAAAGATAAAAATAGGAATAAAGAGTAGAGGATATAAAATGAAAAAGGGAGAAAAGAATTTATTAGTTTGCACAGGATTTTTAGGTTTAGCAGTCTCAGAAAGCAATACTCACTATAGACTTACTAATGATCAGATAGTTAAATTATTAGGCGCAAAAGGAATAAAAGCATTACCAGCTAAAAAATTTAATTCTGAAGATAATGCAGCACTAGATTGGAAACTAGGAGATTTTCTAGGACAAAAGAGATTAGCCCCTCAAGATAATTTATTATACCAAACAGCAGATGGAAATTATGCAGTCAGATTTACTCAGTACACTTATGTAGCACCAGAAAAATCTGAAGATGATGAATTTAGTAGTATAGATAGGGAAGAAAATCAAGATAATCGTAGTGAAATAAATCAGCTTTATGTAATGACAGAAGAAAAAACTATATCACAAAATAAGATATATAATATTGATGAGATAGATTTAGAAAAATTTACCCTAGAAGACATAAATAAAATACTAGATGCTAGATATTATGAATACTTAACCAGAGGAGATACCCATGACGAAGCAGTGTCATTTTTGGATCAGGAATTTCATACGGAATATGTAGACGATATCATAGAAGACAATATACATCCTAGCAAAATATTTAGAATACCAAAACAATCTAACCTAGAAGATACTTTTTATATGAATACAGAAATCTCAAGAACCAATAATTCACAACCAACTGTAGAAGATCCAATAGAACCAATGCAGTATGCAGTAGGAGGAAGAAGACCATTAGCCAGTTCAGGACGTAGTTACGCAGATCCAAATAAAAGCTATAAGTTTCATGGAAAGCGTAGACAACTAGATATGAATATACAATTACAGCCAGTCCATAATCAAGGAACCCTTTTAGATTTAGCTAGATTCGACCCTCAGATATGGCAGGAAGTAATAGAAAGATGGGAAAAAGATACAGTAAAAGCATGGATGACTAGTCCCTATGAATCAACGGATATGTGGGAATATATGGAGACACTTTTAGGAGATTCAACTTATAATATTTATTTACTTTCAAGGGGAAATATGAGGAAACAATTAAACAGCTCAAAGAATTAGGTAATAATCCGTGGAATTTTACAAATTTTATTAAAGAAATACTTATAGGATATGATCCTTCTAGAGGAAATGATTCCGCTCAAAGTGTAGCATTAACTGAGTTAGACCAAATAACTTTAGGAAGTTGGAAATATATTGTACCTTTTAGTAAATAATACTTAGCCATAGCAGCAAGAACTGGAAAAAGTTTTGATGAAGAAATAGGAAATAAATATTTTAGAAAACTACCAGGAGAATTAGGAAGAGAGATAGAAAACAAATGGTCAATTTATTATGCTAGTTTACCAGCAAAAATAGCCATAGGAGAGTTAAGAATAAGAGGAACTTTAGGAATAGGACCTATAATAGTTTTTACATTTTATAAGCTCAGAGAAAAATGTATAGAAGTTAAAATACAGAAAGACTTGAAAAAACAAAGTTACGGCTTTTGTAGCAGTGTAATATATACTCCTCAGCAATATGAAGATGAATATAAAAGGAAAAAATACAAAAAATATGGAAAATATAGAAAAGAAAAATATTGGAAGAAAAAATATAGAAAACCATGGAAAAAACAAAAATTCATTAGAAAAAGTAGAACT